AAAAAAAAGAAACATTCAAATTTCAAACATTCTAAACTACTACTTTTTAGTTTCAAGAGCTTACTTAGTAATTTGTTGTCCCCATCCCACCCCCCAGAGAGATGTTTCTATTAGGCATTTCATGCACAAAAATATGTTTGAAAAGTTACCTTTGTCATAATTTTTTATCATTCACATACATGTACACCAAGCAAATCATTATATTGTGTCACTACTATTATCCCCACCTCATTTTGTTTCCTTTTATTAAAATGCCCCTCACTTATTGCTATAAAGACATCTCTCTCTGTTGTGCTAAAACAAGTCAATAAGTTTTCAACTTCCATCTTTGCTCAAAATGAACCTCACTTAGTAACATATATTACCCTCCCTTAGTACTGTAAATCTTCAGAATCTCTGTCCTCAGAAAAATGATTTAAATTAATTCATTACCCTCACTTAGTAACATATATTACCCTCCCTTAGTACTGTAAATCTTCAGAATCTCTGTCCTCAGAAAAATGATTTAAATTAATTCATTACCCTCACGTATTAGTATTGTTTTTTCACAAATCTCTCTGTGTCCTTTGAAAAATACCTAACAGAAGGGGATAGTGGAGACTTCACTGCACACGCCGACAATAGTATCCCAACATCTTGCATTTCTCACACAGGTGTTGGGGGTGCTCTTTACTTTGGTCAGACACATCCAGACCATCTGGCTTTTCAAGAGGCCGCTGAAAAATATATATACAGGAAGTTAAATCTTAAAATAGTCATTGCTAAGGTGAACCAGCAGTGACCTAGAAAGAAGACAAAGTGTCTGACAGACTGACAGACAATGTACTCCCAGAAAAAAGTTAAATGGTATAACCAATGTTTAGTAAAAATTCTCAAGTAAATGTTTTCTGGTCATTAATTTGACTCTCTTTTTCCATCTGATCCGTAAGACACAAGGAGTGAGCAAAAATGTCTGTGTAAAGAGCCCTGGGCAAAATATAATTTTTCAGGAAATAACGTAACATAACTAGCCTAGTATTTTTTATGTTACTCTTTTTTGAAACACAGGTCATAAATTTGATTTTCTTTTTCCATCTGATCGGTAAGACACAAGGAGTGAGCAAAACGTCTGTGTAAAGAGCCCTGGGCAAAATATAATTTTTCCGGAAATAATGTAACATCACTAGCCTAGTATTTTTTATGTTACACTTTTTTGAAACACAGATGGCATTTGGTCTGGTTCAGTGGCAATGATTTGACATAATTACTTGCTTAATAATATGCATCTTTAAATATATTCCTAGCATCTTGCCCAAGTTAAATAAGCATTCAAATTTTGCATAGCTTGCATGAAAGAATAATATATTGTAGTGATACTCAATACTGCTTATAAATGGTTCAGTGCAATGTTAAACATTTCGTTTCTGCATCTGAAATATCCACTCAGCATGTTTTGAACAAAGACTGACAAAATGGCATCTCTTGCAATGGACTGGAACACTTTTTATCATTAAAATGCACTAGCCTTCTTGGCAGAAAATTCCAAAGTAGTTACAAGATTGCAATTCCCATGCAAAGGCAACACTTAGTTCCCACACTAGAGGGTGTTGGGTAGTGTATAAACCTATATACAACAAGCTATTGATATTGTTTCAAAAGGAGGTAATTTTCCCTAAAAAGTGATAAGATTTTGACAAATATATATTTTCATCAGTGGACTGAGAGTGAAAATGATTAGCATAAAACTTCTTTTTGATATAAATTACCTGCTTATGTGGATATACATTGATGTGGCACTTTATGCATTCCTGTCCCATGTTGGCCCAGCTATTGCCTGACATCCACTTTCTCTTACACTTGGGACACTTGTATTCCCCAAAACACCGCTTTTTGCCCTGGTATGGGGTCAAACCTTCCCCTTTTGGCCTTGCCTGAAAGAACAAGAGTTAACACAATCTTGAATACTGAAAATATATACTGTATTAAATACTGTATATGCAAACTTTGAAATGGAAAATCCTTTTAAGGTGAAAGTATGTACAAAGCATTTCCTTTTTTTTTCCAAATCTGAAAAAAAATCTTGCTTGTTAAAATAAATTGGGCACTAATGTTCTATTTAACATCATAAGAGGCCTCTACCAGTGTGTTATCTCACCACGCCCACATGGCATGACTGACAGGTAAAACTTGGTATGATTTGTATATTAGGCTCCGCCTCTCACGTGGATCAGCTGTGACCTACAAAGTTTACAACTGGGTGCGCATGTACACAGAGATTTAGTACACTAAAAATATTCTGTGAATTTGCATATTTTCACTGTATATCAAAACTGTCGCATGTTCCCTTGCCTTGACTAAATTTTTTCCTTTCTTGAAAAAGTAAATAAAAAATGACATATTTGTACACAAATCAATCTTTTAATAAAACAAGCTTAACACAATCAAAATTTGAAGGCACACAACTGCAGCCTGCCAGGGATAAGGTAATAAATCCAAATGAAGAAAACACCAAACCCCATTTTATGTGACAGGCATTTACAAAGCATTCTTTAACTTCCAATTATGTTTATATTGTGCAGACCTCTCTTTTTACAGCTTCTTATCTTCAAAAGTAAGGGAAGCTGACGTCATTCCTTGAGACTGACATGCCCACTTTCTTTGATGAACTTTCTCTGCACCCTTCACACAGTTAAATAATACATCTTATATCATTCAACTATCGTTCAACCTTTGAATTAAGTGCACTTTAAAAGGATAGACTTGGAAGCAATTTACTTTCTTAAGCAGCATTTACTGGTTATTTGGCAATACTAGCAATTATTTTTTTTAGTGCTAGAGAACTATTCTCTGCACTGCCATGCACCTTACTGCCTGGTCCACCTTTTGGTTTAGAGTGGAGGGCAAAGTGAAATGACTATAATTAAGGAAACAGGGATAATTTAAATGTTGTCTATCAGTAGACTGTATGCCAACCCACCCCCCTTTGCTTACACACACACAAACACACACTGTATAATACACTCTCCTAAACAGACCCCCTCCCCCAACATGGTCAGTCTGCTAGAATTATGTTGATAGGTACTTTGGAGCTTCTGTAAAATGGCACACCTCCCCCCCCCCCTCCACCAGTGTTAGGACCAGTCAATCTGATGTGGTACAAAAACTATTGGATGTGAGAGGGGCCACACATACAAATTTAACAACTATAAATTATCAAAGTACACAATTATTCTTCTGTGCAATCAAAAAGAAATGTTTTCAGTTTTATTAATTTGTCTTACTTAAAAAAAAAACTTAGGCAATCTTTCACCACAAATGTATTGCATAAACCAATCTGTCATTCTGCTTGTATTTGTTTGACACCGAACCAGAAGAAATGCGCCCACAGTAGTGCTAAGTGTCTTTTAGATATATCCCCAATGCTGAAACTGAGACATGCCAGAAATGCTACCGACATGAATCACCATCTCAACCCATTCTTTCGCTTCAATTTAAGGATAAAACCATCAATATAGAAAGAAGAAAAATTGTTTACTTTTGCTCAATTTGATATTTAGTACTTATTAAATGCAACATGTGATTGGTGATTATCATTTCCTCTATGGTATACTTCCAGGGGGACTGTAACTCATTTCATCTTTTTCCTTTTCAACATGCCTTCCTGCAGCAAGACCTCAACGCAATCAAGTAACATTCCACATTTCTACGTTTCTAATTAACAAACCAAACTAAAATACAATATACCACACCAACAGGGATGATATCACTATCTCCATTATCACCCCCCCCCCCTCCCACCCCGCAACACACTTGTCCTACAGACAGTGCACATATTTTTCCTTTCCACCTGAAAATCCTCTTACTTATGTTGTAACATCCTTTCCTTGATGCTGTGCCTGCCTGTGATGCTCCAGCGGGTGGTCTACAAAATGTCCCAAAGGTCATCATTAATCTCACATCTGGGACCATTTCCCACAAATCCGATCACTTCTTTAACAAAACCCTTAATATGTTAACAATCTGGTCAGACTAAGTGTGAAATGGATCTTACAAATCCCACCTAAAACCACAATCACTTTCTTTGTACACACATCACTCCCACGCCATTCTATCACCCAATCAACTGATCATTCCATTCATCTTGATTTTACTCTCTCAGCAAGACCTTAGTTTAAATAAGACTTTTTTCAAAACATTCAGTATACTGTTTATAATTAAGATAATAATATAAACAAAAACAGCTTTGTTGAACTCAGTTGTTTAAAACTGATCTTTTTCCCCTTTTGTTGTTTCAGCTATGGGGCAGGGGTTTGTTTGTCATTGAAAAACTGAAGTTTCCCTCTTCTAGGATGCGTCGTGGATGGGAACTGCTATAATGGTATCAAACACTTACACTATTTGGAAATTGGAATCATTTTTTTAAGTCTAAAATCCCTAGTGTTCAGTAGACTTAACAACATAATATTATTATGCTTGTATAATTAATTTATTGGGAGGAATAGGAATCTTGAGCAGCTATTTCGAACAAATAAATAAAATTATATATATATAATATATATTATTATAAAATTTGTAAAAGTTTACAGATAGGAATGATGGATAGATAGATAGATAGGTAGCAGGTATTCTGTGCCACAGAAGCCCTTTCTCACTACTGTTACTTCCCTTCTGATGCAACCCATGCTACCAACAGCAGACACTCTTCTGCCCAAATCTTGGGGAATTTTAATTGGTGGCATATCTTCAAAGCTCCATATGATTTATTTATAGATGTATTGGAGACTGTTAGTCCACTATCTTTTATACCTAATTATTCACAGACCTATTGGAGACTGTTAATTCACTAAATTAAATATATCTAAGACAATTTTGTAAAGATAGGCTAAAGGGGAGGGACACTGTTATGCAATCAATTCTTAATCTTTTAAAAGTTCTGGTAGTAAGTTGCAATCATGTCAAATTCGAGGCAGGCTGTTTGATGATCAACCCCCCCCCCCCTTTTCTAATCACCATGCCATCCTTATATAATACGCAAGATGAGCTGTCAGCACAACTTCAAGGAATGATATACAAGAGATCTGAGGGATAACAGAATATTGGGGGAGGGGTATGAAAGCATCTACTTCCTTACTATAATTAACAACCTAAAACTGTTTTTGTAAAAGCAGTCTTGAATGGGACCCTTTTATCTTCAATTAAAGAGAAGTAGAGAATCAAACCAATCTGCAGTATAATCATCAATAATCAGATTGTGAAGTTTTTCTTTATTTATAATTCAAAAATTATATCAATATTATGCAATCACTGACTGCAATGTTATAAAAAAAGTCAAAAAGTTTTCACTGATGCTTTTTCTGGACTATACAAATGCCACTCCATATTCAAGAAGAGTACATCATTTCTAAGGAACAAATTCCAGTTGCCTAGCAACTGTTTGCACCTGATACAGCTGTACATCTAATGTTACTTTGTTTATTTAAGGTATAGTAATTACCTGGATACTGAAAAGAGTTGCCACTGGTAACCTCAGGATATGTCCATTTCTACAAATAATTCATTACCACCCCCAACCTCATTGACCCAGATATTGTACAAGGTCTTAAGATGAATGGTACAAGTTTGCTGTCTTGTAATCTGAATTTATTTGACTCTTCAAGATCAACTCTTTTTTAACTCTTTAAATTAAATTTAATCTTGTTTGTGGGGAGTGGACAAATGTTTTTCACAACCACTATATATCTAAATGAAGCAAGTTCTACTAATGTCTTGCTTTCCTATCCGTAAGCCCTCTCTAATCCAGGTTAATGTCATATACCTTCTTTGGTTGCAGAAATGCATATGAGGGAAACCTGATCTGCTCCAACAGAAAAAGCTTGCCCCCTTTTCTGACACAACTAGAGGATGAGAGTTAAAAATAAACTTTTAACTAGGTACATTTTCAACTCAGTTTGATAACATCCATTCAATAATATATGAAACATCTCACTGAATTGCTATTTTTGTAACTTACAAGGTTATTTACCAGAAAAAAAACTGATAGGTTTTTGCATGCCTCTGTTTGAATGGAAGCACCTGCACAGGAGGTAAACAGCCTGGTACACTGTATGGCCAAACAGCAACTTTCACTTGATTTATGGATTAATTTGTTGACATTCATCTACATACTAAATGAGGCATATGCTGGAGCATTTCTGTCAAACAATCCTGTATTTGTTTTGAATTCTGTGTGGGGCAGTGTGGACTATTCATTGGACTGAGTTCTTAAAATAGAGACAAGTTCTTGGCAGTTTCTCTTATCATGCATGTTTATACGTTCTCTCTCTGAAATGCATGCCCTTACTTATTCTCGTATCCAGTAAATAAGAACTGCAGCCATTACACAAACATGTGAACTCTTATGTTTTACTTTAACACTTTTTATACTTCAAATATTATACTTATTAAGGGAAACTGTAATTCCACAGAACAGCTACTAGTACTAAAGTGTTGAAAAATTAATAGGAGGCAATACTTAACTTTTGATTTTTATTTTATTTACTTATTTATTTGGGGGGGGGGGCTGCCCCTATACCTATGTCTAGCCCAATACAATCCAAATTTAACTATGCCAGAATGCTTAAGCAATAAATCTGTATAAAATGACATCTTTTCAACAAATATTAACTACAGTGACAACATAATGAGAGCTAAGCCTACAAAGAACAAAATATGTTAGATGACTAGAATGTAGACTTACAAAACACGTAATTTTCAAGAAGAGAAGGGGGGGGGAGTTAAGTCCATCTCAACTTCATTAAATGACAAACAACAATATTAGATAAATATATAAATTGTACTATAATTGTATTATAATTATAATTGTGACAGGGACACACAACACTGTGATCTTAGTGCTACGCTATGTGCTGATGAAGCCCTTGAGCACTGTGCCTTCTCTATTTCATGATAACCTAGAAAAGCACTCCGAGAGCCCAGACCTCCGCCAAGGCAGCAAAGTCTCCACCCAATGCAGTTTCATCCCCTAAATTTTCTTTCTATCATTTTCATTATGATTTAGTTTTTTTTTAAATTATTATTATTGATTGATTATTGATCCGGATCACCACCAAAAACTAATCATCTGTTCCTTGGCCCACTTCTGACAGTTCCTGAAAATTTCATCAAAATCGGTTCATGACTTATTTCTTTTTATTTTTGATTATTGATTATTGATTGATTATTGATCCAGATCACCACCAAAAACTAATCACTTCTAAGTTAACCCATTTCTGACCTACCCTGAAAATTCCATCGAAATTCATCCATAAATTTTTGAGTTATGTTGATGACAAACAGGGGTGAAAACATAACCTCCTTGGCAGAGGTAACCAATACAATCCTCCAATACAGAATATCCTTTTTATTGGACTTTTGATGTATCTTGGGATAAAGAAGACTATCATTTTGGTTACAAAGTTTAGTTCTTATCTGAAGTAGACCTAATGTACATACATGTATCAATAGAGAATAGACAGGGAAAACCTAAAGGAAGATCCTTCAGATTGTATTCCATAAATGTCATTAAATGCTAAATGCTATTTTTTTAACTGGTAAATATCTGCTAATCCACTTTACCTAAACAGTTCAACATGTTTTCAAAAGATTGCTACATAACTTTTAGGAGAATAGGTATTTATGCTTTAAGGAAGCAAGGATTTCCTTCAATGGGGCAATCACAACAAATCATTACATAAAGATAACATCATTATAGTTTTAGAGTCTAGCTCAAGTACAACATATTTTCTTTCAGTAAGATAAATCCAATATCGTCTAAGTGACAAATGACATCCAAGGATACAATACCCACATTTTCAAACATGTTAGTGGAATTCGCTTTGACTTACAAAATATACCACATGAAGTTACCAATTCAAAAGAATAATAAGATACCAAAGCATATGGGGGAGGGGGTGTAAAACAGAATAGTATATATCCCCCAATTTTTGCCAAAAGAAAGTCTAAAGATGTATTCTAAATGAGGAGCCAATAAAAAAACATTTTAATGTACTGTGCACGTCCCTATTGTCTGTACAAGACTGAAATGCCTTACGGATTATGGCAATAAAAAACATTAGAAAACACAAGTTAATCAAAACGTCTTACCTGTGGACAGTCTTTGATATAGTGGCCTTTTGTGAAACACAGGTGGCATAGGTAAGTACTTGGAGGCCGCTTGCCAGGCTTGCGATCAAACGCTGATATTGTAAGTTGAGAGAATTGGTCTGTCAGATCGTTGGAAACTATCCCATTCATGTTTGGCCCACCCTAAAATGTCAAGAAAATATATAGTACACTACATCACTATATTTACTGTTACATGTTATTCAAATTTACTGAAATGGAATAAAAAAGTTAGTAAAACAAAACATTCATTGCTAAAATTGCTAGCTAACAGTTACATGTTTATACTTGTGGAAATTAAACCATTTCACTCCTTCACAAAAAGGCCTAGTCAAGCCTTACTTTTATCCCTCTAATCCTTCCTTGTAGTTACCAATTTCAATGTTTTTTTTTTATTCTGTTTAGAAATTTTCCCACACTCCTAGATTTATAACAATGTTACAATAAGACATTTTATGAATGAAATTTAAAACATTGTAGACAAAATATGTCCTCAAAACACAATGCCTTAAGTACAGTTAGGATAAAGGAAAATATTACTACTTATTGCACAAGTTCAAAATTTCAAAAATAATCATAATATATAAATAAATAAATAAATAAAAACACTGCTGTTAGTTTTTCTAGATAATTTTCTTAAAATACTAATCGGATCCAGCTTTCTTATGATAAAGGCACACTTTGTAAAAGCACAAAACTTGTAATGCATGCAAAATTGACTTGTTACTAAATAGGAACATCCTGACGATACATGCATCTTTGTTTTCTCATATGATGTGCAGAAATGGTGAATAAATTGTGGTAACATGCAGTTTGGTATGTTTTGTTTTCAAGGGACACAGTTATTGCAATCCTGACCATGTCAAACCCCAATAATTTCATAATAAAACTGGATCTGCTTATTAAAATAAGATGAGCCCATTGTGAATTTACCGTAGTAACACCCATTTCACTGAGTGTGGCCAAGAAGTTTGGTTCATTGTTGTTCAACTCCTTTTCCATTGCTTGGATAAACTCCCTTGTCTCTTCGATTGCCTGGAGGTCAAAGGGAAGAAATCTAGCTAGGCCTCTCTTTATTTACAAAACATTTTAAACTTTAATAGGCAATGAAGGATGTTAATTTGAGCTGCCCTGAAGAAGTGCATCTGCAGAGCCAGACATCATCTGACATGTGTGGCTATGAGGGAAGCACTGCAGCCACATATAAAAGCACTAAAAATAAATACTCCGGTTGAGGTATGCTTATTATTTGGTACACAACATATTCAACACAAACGTGCGTTAAAAACACAACAAACGGGTTCAGTGATATTGGAACTGCAAAACGTAGACAATCCATGCATAAGCATACTTTCCACGGTGAACAGAAGGTCAAACGCAGATATTATGCTTTATCTGGGAAATCTGACATTTCCGTAGAATAGAAATTATATACTCACTTGCGGCGTTGGGCTCCATGGATCCGTGTATAGGGAAGACTGAAAGTTCTGGTTGACTTGATGATTTACTTGGTTGTCGTTCGGTAGGTTTAAGAACACCCAGTTCTGTAATAGTTGAGTTTGCGGGTTTTGGAAAACAGAATTGTTGGCGTTGTCTATCAGCGAAGTCATGTTGTTCTCTGGCCTGCAGTGCACTCTTGCCTCTGGATTTATGGACCGCTGCTGTGCTGCCAATCAAACTTCCCCCGTGACGTAAGAAAAACTTTGAACCAATCAGCAGGCGTCGGTAATCAACACGTTGTGTGTTTCTAGTAACAACCAAAGCGTGAAAGTTCGCGAAAAGACATCGCATGTTTGATTCGCAAACTGCCTTGGTTATAACGACTCTTGCAATGATAAAAGTGCAGTCAAGACTAGTAAAATGTGTGTCGGGGTCTTATCCATGTTTTTCAACTTTGTCCAGCACATTTTTACAAATCAAGATACATTCACCATTTGATTGATCCTTCGTATCCATTTATAAATTTCATATAATCACTGTAATCATTTATTTATTCAGTAGCGGATTTGGGGGGGGGGGGGCAAGGGGGTCCTGACTCCCTTCAATTTCTGAAAAAATTACACTAATACTATCTTTTTGACATATTCACTAGCTGAATCATAGTTCTAAACCGTCCCAATGGCACCGTTCGCCTTCTAAAAATAAAATACCAGCCCCGAACCCCACGCCAAGGGGGAGGGAAGAGGGTCGGCTTTGCATCCGCTGACCCCCCCCCCCTCCCCTCTTCAAATAATCCTGGATCCGCCCCTGATATTTATCTATCTATTTTTGCTCTGTTATGGTAAGTTGTGCTGTCATTCATTCTACCCGAATGTGAAGGTGTTTATCAATAAAGAATCTGAATCTGAATCGTATGATATGGGGTCACCATATTCCTTTTGTGCTCCTCTCCTTTCTCCAAAATAAAAAAAAAGCATATCAGTGTGCTTTGTCTGAATAAATAGAAATGTCAAGAATTTATCAACAGACATATAAGACATAATTTTACTCGTTATGATAGTTACAATTTCTTAAAAGCATATTAATCGATAACAACTTTCAATTTACTTTCTTTCCTTCCAGCTTCATTTTCTTTCTTTCTTTTTTCTTTTCTTTACTTTTCTTTCTTTTTTTCTGTTTCTTCTCCTGTGTAAACGTAATCGAAAGGATGAAATATTGCTTTTCGGGCAACATTTTCATCCTCTGTATCATTAGTGTAAAACAACGCACATGTTTTAAACATCTAAATGGCGGACTTTTCTCATTAATCAGTGACAATTGAAACTGGTACGCTTTATGCATGTTTTTGACACAGAGTTGTTGTAATTGTTGCTTGAATGATTCATTTGAGATTTTGGAAAAATGTGTGACTTTTGACACCATTCATCAGACAACCGGTGATAACCCCAAATGACAAACACACTAGATTCACAGTAGATCTCCGTTGTTTGTATAAACATTTTCTCAGTGTTTGACACTTGTAAAGGATGCTAAGTGTTCTTTGTTATTTTTAAATAACAAGATAAATGTTTTTGCAAGAGAGATGATTAATGCTATAAACACAGGTAGAGACGTGCTACGGCTTCTGCGGCGAAATTGTGACAAAAAAAGTCGGCTACACATAATATATCAGGTCGGTAATTATTTGTGATTTCTAGCCGTACATTTGTGATTGCGATCACCGAATAAATGACTCAACCCGCGATTTCATATAGTGCTATCATAAGAACTTTTTTGTCCTTTCTTTACTCTCCCATCATTTCAATCTTTCTCCCCGTACTCGAAGTGTCGTTAAATATAAATTTCCATCATTTTGCAGAGCATGCCCTCACTCATTTTACCAATATTACCAGTGGCAGCGGTTACGTATAGTGCTTACCCTCTACCAGGGCCACAGATTGATTTTACACTAGACATTCAGAGAAACACTATGTATGTCTCTGGCTAATTCATGGTACATTTCTCCACTGTCGCGTTGGAGAAAACTGCACATAATTAATCTGCTGCCCTGGTAGAGGGTATACAATGCCCCATAAATATTCCCCAAACCCAATCTGCGACTCTGGAGGTAAATTCGAAATTAACCTCGCTATTAATTAACAGCCGTACATCTAGATACGCTGGTGTTATTTGTATCAAATCCCGTGACAGGTTCCAGACGCTCGGGCTCCTTGACTTCTTTGAACTTGTCACGGTTGCTTTACATGGATGTTTGTCCAGGACTTCTCTGTCAGATGGAACGCTAAAAGAATCTGATTCAGCTGTGTTGAAAGACAAGTACTGTGCTAAGGACGAGTTAAAGTAACTGCAGATTGATACACAAAATCAACCTTTTTGTCTTGGTTTGTTACTACTGACATAAAACCTGTTGGGCGATCATAACAGGAAAGCACAATGACTGACATTTGTTTTGAGAGGAGTCTTCGATTAAAAACAGTACTGCAGTAAAGAAATATATGAATCTTTAATCAAAATTAGCATTACATCGAATTACATGTATATATCAGTGTCCTTATGCTTGTGTAACTGAGTTTGATTAAAGCTCAAAGCCTGTCTATTTAAATGCACCAGGTACATATACATATGGTTTTCAGGATGTTAGCGCCCATGGAAATGATCAAGCAGAGTCATTGTCACGCACCAGTCTCTCTGTTATATCAGAACGTTAATTACACCTGATCAATTAATAAAAACCAAATTCCAAAAATTATACATCTTATATGTGTCTACAGTTTTGATAGGATGTGGATACTATATGATTAGGGTCCAAGATTAGATCTTGGATCCTAGTGTATGATCATTTTAGCAATCCCTGAACCCCTACAACAGCAGGTGTAGCTATGAAGCATTGCACTAAAATATAAGCCCTAAAATTCAGAGCGAGCAAAAAAATAATTAATAAAATAAATAAATATATAAATAAATAAATAAATAAAAAAGGCATAACATATATCATAACACAGATACACTGATGTACACAGTATAATAATTGCATTCCTCTTTAAATTTATATTAAATAAAGCATTATGTTGTGGAAGAGGTATTTCATTAAAATTAAATTAGAAAGGAACTGTTAAAATAAACTGATATTTAAAAATAATTTTTCGAAGAAATTTTAAAATCATTGTAAAAAAATTGATGTATGTTAATCATGTAGACACAAACACATTAACAAGGGATTGGTAACAATGGATTGATAACAAGTTAAAGAGCATTAAAGAGCATTCTGTAATCTATATAAAAAGACACCATAAAAACATTCAATCCTCAAAATATAAATGTTTCTTAAATTAGAATAAAAGTATAAATACACTGTAGAATATGTAAGAATTCCATTTTTACTAGATTGAAATAAAGCCAGTTTGAAGGCTTCAGAGAATATTGATGTCCTTTAGAGAATTAAGTACACAACAAAATAAGAAAATAATATGGCGCAACACATTAAGTTAAAATTCTTTTTGACATTCAACAAAACATTTAACACATATTACATAATACCTGTACTTTTGGTATCACAGATATTAAAATATCATTTGAATGGAATGTGCTGATCAGCAGTTGAAATATGAGTTTAGAATTAGGAAATCTAAAAACATTTGATTAAAATAAGGATAAAAAGTAACTTCTACTTGGTACCTTTGCTTTTTAAATAAATTAAATCACAAAAAGGAAAAAGTAATGGTTTTGACTAATACTCATTCAAGTTTGAATAGTCCATAGCACAATCTCATTATTTAAGTTTTGTAACTCTGACATTAATTGTGCTGGTACGCAAACCCTTCAATTAACTAATTTAAGTTATTATTATAAGTGGAAAAACAAAAAAGTGCATTACCCACTGGTCAATTTTTATGGTGAGTATTTTCTTGCAACAAGTTTATTTGGATTTTCTTGTTTTCAATTAACCCTCCTGAGCGAGAGGGCCGTATCTATATTCCGAGGATCCATTACTCCAAAAATTAAAGAATCCCTCATAAAATATCGACCGCTATACTGAATGTCTGCTGTTCCAAATTTATACCGAATACCCATTATTCAGATGTGCTAATATTCCAAAGACACAGATAGAATGCGTACAGATAGAAAAATGGCACAGGATAAATAAAGAGCAGATAAAGAGCACAACAAATGCAGTTGGTTACATTAATAAGTAATTGCTGCTGTATTCAACAGAAGCAATGCGTGCTTATAATATTTTGGAGCAGTTCATTTTATTCTCAATGGTTCTTCATGTAAGACCCTAAAATAATACAACATAGAAAGGGACAGACAGACACAGCATTACAAATGCATTTGATGCGAGTGTTGCAAATTGCATTTGTTGTGCTCCATGTATATTTTGCTCCATAATGCTGGTGTACACTGCAAGAATCTTTTTGCTGTGTCTTCAGAACATAGGACCCTCAGTCTAATGGGTCCTCTGAATAAAGGGAGGATCCCTAAGCAAGTTGCTGCAATAAACAACAGTTGACAACATTGTGGACAGTTGACAACATTGAAAAAGGCATCAATATCATTAAGAAGAGTCTATACATCTGTGGAATGAGTAGCATGTTTGGAATGGTGTAAATCTGCTTCTTCCTGAAAGTTGTGTTTTACTGGCTCATAATCATCGCCAGGTAACAAGTCATACTTTTTCTGATAATCTCCAAAAGTAGGCATCTCTGTGTCGGCAGGCTTATATCTCCAGGCCAGCACAACAAACACTAATGTATTTAATACCATCAAGCCGGCCAACAACCAGAAAAAATATTCAAGATGTCCTTGGTTGATGTCATTTGGGTACCAGGGATCTGAAATGAGATAATTTTTAAGAAACATTGCATGTACTTGTTCACTGTGGTATTTTGTAAGTTATGGTGATACCTACAAAAACACAATGCTGTATGTGTTTATATTTGTGGGTGTGTGTGTGTGTGAGAGAGAGAGAGAGAGAGAGAACTGACCATCCACAGTAGCTGCATTGACAATGGCAATCAGTGCTGACCCCAAATAGTTCCCCAGACCATTGGTCAGTAGGAACATCCCCATAATAAGACCTTGCAGGACAGCAGGTGCCTGGGAGTAGGCAAACTCCAGCCCTGAAGAACAAAATTGACTAGCAGCATGAGCAAACAAAACTTAAAGAAAGATCAAAAATATTCAGAAGATCCGAGTGCTAACTGGTCCACGGCCTAAATATGGCGGACCTACATGAAAGGAAGACAGCTTAATCCTGTAATCGTCTCTCCGCCTCTTTCGCGCCTCCTCATCCGTCGTGCCTGCAGGGGCACAGTAATTAAATCTTGGCTCAATTTGACCAGCTGAGCGACAACGCGTGGGGAGGTGTGTGAGCAGCAGAGAGACCATAACAGGATTTTAAAGTGGTTTTCCTTTCATGTAGGTCTGCCATATTTAGGCCGTGGACCAGTTAGCACTCATATCTTCTCATTCTGAATGGCCCCTTAGAGTGATGACCATCACTTTCACCCACATCACAGATGTTATTAAATCAGTAGAGAAACACAGAACAGATCTTTAAGTATAAACTTTCTTTTGGTACTTGCTGGTAATTAAATGAGGTCCACTGAAGTTATTTGGACTTATGACCAAACAATTCTAAAACATTCAGTCAGAAGAGGAAGAATGATGCTTCATGTACAAACCATTTACTGAATTTATAAGCTTTGAAACAAAACAACATTTAATGTGTTGTTGTAGCTCACAGGTTATTTTTATTTTTAAAGAAAAACACAATGATGTTAAAAAAACAATAACAACCAACATTGCACAGCTCAACTAATGCAATGTAGTGAGAGGTTGATATTTTACAGAAGCTTCAACTTAAATATAGTAGCAATAAACAAGAGATACATCTTAAATTGAAAATAAAATTAATGTTATATTAATAATAAAAATAATCAATATTAATATTAATTCTCTCAAACTGAAAACCATTTTTTTTAACTTTTTAAGTAAAAACAATTATAAAATTGAAAAATATGTGAAAATGCTAGCATTCTTTCAACTTAAAAGAAAAACTTCACTTCTCTCATTCTTACCTGATATACTAGCAAACACCTCACTAGCACCAATTAGGGTGAACTGTGGAACTTGCCAGAAGATACTGATACTGGAAGCATTGTACTGTACATTTGATATGGTCTGTACTATTCCCCCATATACCTGTAATTCATCTCTCCTAGCCACCTCTACAAAACCAGCCACTACCACTGACAGGGTGGCTAGCACCATGCCTATACCTGTATAGCAATATGAACTTTATTATTAAGATATTCATTTTTCTAATATTTCATTTAAATTTTGTTATATTTATCTCCTCACATTGCTTTTCCACCTCTCAAATTATCATTTTTGGTAATAATTATACAATTTAGTAATATTAGTAACAGGCCCGTAGCCAGCAATTTCAAATGGGGGGTTCGTTTTTTGAAAAAGTGGACCTTTTACCATAAAACCATCATGTACCTAGATCAAATTTTATCCAAAGTGGACCTTTTCCCAGCAAAGAGGGCGGTTCTTTCGAACCCCCCGAACCCCCCCTGGCTACGGGCCTGAGTAATAATCACGATACTAATAGTGTATTACTTTGACAACACCAGTTTAGGAAATGTATGTAATACACGTAATAAAGAGGAGACTCCAGTGCAATACCCCAACCTGCCATCCAATTAACAACACACACACACACACACGCACACTCTTAATTAAGTACCTATTCTAACCAACTGTGATGGGTAAATCTTCACACGGGCCAGCAGAGGATAGACAATACGGTCCATTATAGGAACAAGAATGAGGATGATGGCGACATTGAACAGATTAAGAGATGCAGCAGGGATCTTAAAATCGTCATCGCTGAAGCCTAATTTCATATGGGTCCCTTGCAGTAAGTATGTGCTTTGCATCTGTTAAGGGAAATGAAATGAAATACATTCAAAGCCAGTCCAGTTCTAATTACAGTAAATTTATATTGTAAAAAAAGTTCTTAATTCCTATATTCTCAATCCAGTTTCTTTCTTGGGAGGTATATGAATCCTTTCTCTTTTCTCGAATACTTTTGGCTTTTTATCTTGAATACACTCAGATAATATGTATTCTGTTTTCATCTTAGCTGAGATAGTTTGCACAATACCATACCTGGGAATAGATAGTCCAGTACATAATCATAGCAATGAAGATTGGGATTACTCTCCCCAGCATCTTCACTCCCTCCACAGCCTCTGTTGTATAGGACCCACCATTGGAATACTTGGCATAATCCAGGTACGAGTCTAAAACTTCAGGACTGTGGCGTTTTTTCTGAACACCTTCCTTTATGATCGAAACTGTGGTGGCTAGAACACTCTCTATAAAACGAATGTGATGATATGAGTCAGTCCAATTTTATGTCAAAGGTATTTTTTGTCTGAGCAGACAATGAAACAACCAAATCAAACAAAACAAAACAAACCCCATTTAAAAAACTACAAAAGACTCTCAATTATGAATTTTGCCAATCTATGAATTATTATTAAAGCACTCACCACCAGGGTCATGAGCTTTATACTTGTTCTTGGCCACAAAGAAAATGACATTGGCCAGGATCAAGGATACTGCTGGGATCAGATAGCCCCAGAAGAAACTGATCTCCTGTTGTATGTAGGCCACTATAGAGAAGGATACTGCTGAGCCCAGGTTAATGAACCAATAAAACCTGGAAAATAACAAAACTCATCAATGACTGCAAAACTCCTGTTCTTTCTTCAACTTTAACTTTAACACAGTCTTATAGCCTGCTTTCAGGTTTTAGAAACTTGATTGGAACAATACCCCCCCCTCCTTTTTATCAGACCACCTATGGGTCCTTGCAGGGTCCAGCTAAATCCAAGATTTACAAAGCAAAGAGGAGAGACTGCAGTTAAATGTCTGCATCCTGATGATATACCAAAACAATTTGATTAAAAATGGCTTGAAAATATGTAATCCTTATAATAGTCATGTAAATACAGAGAGCAACCTGAGGGCATGCACATCCTACATAATGTGAATATTTTTAACATACATTTTCCATAAATTCTTTGAATCAATAATCATTTCAAATCAACAGAACAATAAAAGAAAATGTGAAGATGTTGGAGAATGGTACGTTGGGGTACTAAAACTACGGTTATACTATTATTCTAAGAGGCCACATTTTATATTGAAATTTAAAAAATTAAGGGTAGGAAATAATTGTTCATTCTTTAAACCATAAACATAATATTGGTAACATGCCGTTATTTGTCTAAGATATGTTGTGCATCTCACAACACAGCTTACATACTGGGGCAGCTTCCTTTGCCATAAAATATAATTGACTGGGAAACTGTTCATTATGTTAAATATACATGCTGAGCAAGACTGGCTGTTATTGTTAGCACTGTATGAATCTTTATTTACCTGACACCACAACAGATTTACCCCTCATTGGCACACGAAATTGGCACAAGAAAAAAAAACTTTTTTGGGCAAAAGTGTTACTAACACATTTCAAGCATGCTTCAAATGTTAAAACCAGAAAAACGAGGACAAATAAACAGCTGACATTCATACATGGCTTGCAGTAGTACCCCCTCTCGGACTGATGTGAATATACAAGCTATATACACAGGGTCACAATTATTATATAATACACCTGGCAAGAAGATAACCACATGCCACTGATCAAAATATACTCACGTGAGATGACCTATTCTGTATAACAATCAAATGAAAGAAAGGAGAAAGAAAAAAGACAGAAATGATAGAAAAAACAGATATCTACAGTAATATGGATTGAAAACAGATGATGATAAATTAGGAAAATCACATTCAAAAACCCGCTTTTACCCTGACTGATTGAACTCCGTTTCAATTCGTTATCTCATTTACATCCCAAAATATTATTTTTTCTACTCTTCTACCCACACTATTGTAAAACATCCATGGTGTACCTAAATGAAATATAGAAAAAAAGATTAAATAACTAAAAAAACGTTAGAGTGATGTTAATTGAAGACTACTTTCATTATCAAGTTGTAAGAGCAACTGTCAATAACAATGTATCTTTTCAAACATACCAATTGAAGAATGATTGCACTGCATCAGATCCCAGGTCTTCTAACTGCTGAGCACCAAATGGACCTACATTTGCCTTTATACCACCAGTTCCTATGGCAACCAGAAATAGACCAGTGAGGAAAAAACCCTGCATCTCTCCCTGTAAGAAAATTCTAAAATACATCAAAACATATAAAGAATTAGATTCATCCCACTTAAAATCACTGGTAATTATTTTTGAAAAAAATATTACTTTAGCAATAAAATAAAAAAAAGACAACAATGAAGTTAGACACTTACATTTTCTAATATTATTATTCAGATCAAATGAGGAATCGAAAGTAAAATAATTCAAATAATCATATATGTTGCCTTTATATACCTTCAGTGTGTTCAACTGTTTATATACCAAATGCCATATGCCCCCCCCCCCTTTTACAATAAACACACAAGCCCCACCACTTACAATCTATACTATCTCTTGGTGATCATGACAGCCAATACAGGGCATTGTTAAGATAATTGTCTTACCAATGAGAGCCCTAATTGACTGTTAGAACTAGCTCCTTGGTAATCAAAGGCCACAGCTGGTAGAATGATTGAGCCTATAAGTAAATCATAAAACTTACATGTACTTCACACAGAACTTTACAACAATGTTAATAAATTCACTATAGTTATGTGACATAAGGCATGAGAATGAACGCATTCTAATGCAAAACAAATTATACAGTCTATCATTGTGGATCTAAGATAAAAAATACTATTTTCTCTATTCAATGGTGCTTTTTTCAAAAATATACCATGGGCTTGGTGCATATTTTAGTGTAAGCAAAGGATGCAATTTCTGTCATATTTTTGAAATATTCAGCTAATTCTTACAGAATCTGCCACCTAAGGTCACTTGAGATAAATACATAACCTATCCTGGCATATTTATTAACTGAATAAATCTTCAACTGATAATGTCACAGGTTTAACAAGGCTACAATGATAACATGTTTACTGCAAGATAGAAGATCAGTAAAAATGGGTATAACTTTAGGAGATGACCTGATTGTAGCCATGAGCGCTCAGGGCCTTGAAAAAATTTTTTTAATTAAAAATATTTAAAAAAACAGTTGAAGTAAGTAAATAAAGACATGACATCCTCACCTACTGTATAAATGAGCCCACTACCAAATATTGCATTGAAGCGTCCAGATAAAGAGTCGGCCACCCATCCTCCTATTACCGGAACAAGGTAACATGTGCCTGAAATAAAAAGGCCACTGTAAACTAGGCCCACTTTACTGGGCATAAGGGTAATCTAAGTAAAGATTTTGTCTTAGCCAATTACTGGGGTAGCGCTAACACTTGCCAATTTAGCCAAATGCTAAAATTAACTTAAACTGGCTAAAGAAAAAGGGCTTGATTTGACTTGCTTTAGAATTATAATAATTTTGATAACAAATTGACAAAAAAAGTGGTGATTTGGCTAAGCGCAAAAAAATTGCTAGCGCTACCCCAGAATTAGGTAAAAATATATAGGCCCAGGGCAATCAAATTTTTGTTACAAATCTTCAAAAATAATGATACTAGTAAGTAGTAAATCTTTTTTAATTTTATGCATATTTACATGTATAATCAGTAATCCAATATGCTATATGCAATCAATATATTGATTCTTACCTGTATCCCAACCATATACATGTCAGATATATGAAAATATTCAAGTCAGTATTTATATATATTGTATGTACAGTATGTCACAAATACCTTTGTTCTCACCTGTAAACAAGTAAGTGATGACTGTTGCCGTAACATTATCATACTTCAGCTGATTCTTCAGAAATATCAACAAGTTAGCATTGATGCTATAGTAAGTCAGCCTCTCACACAGTTCTGTCATCAGAATACAAACTGTCACCAGGCGACGACTGGACTCGGGTTTGACATGAACTTTATAACTGCTGCCGCTGCTGGCTGCATTACTCCCAGTAAGGGGAGTTGTTTCCCCTGGGTGGTCAGTAAGGTTTGAGCTGGACATATTGTTTGATGACTGGGCCAACTGGCCAACTGTCTCTGAAGCCTTGCCTCGATCAGTCCTGGATCAGGAAGCTTTCTTAATCAATGTTTGACAGAGCAGTTTCTTGTTTGAAGTTTCTGTACCTTGTACATGGTCTCCAACTAAAAAACAAAATTCCTGTAAGTCATGCAAATCAACCCACTAACTAGCAAAGTTTTATCTAGTCTGGTTAATGGTTTTGAGAGTCCAAAAGTCAAGCCACGCTTAGTAATAATATTGAAGAGAGATTAGGATTATACTGTTCAAAAATAATTTTACACAGCATTATACCGGTATCTCTAATCACTATTGACTCTAGGTCTTCGTACTTTGTATTTTTTCACTCATCTTATCAGATATTTGATAAGATTTTTCTGACTGATTAATATGAAGAAGCATGCTTTAACAGTATTACTATTTCAGTTTAAACATGTCGATAAGTCATCTGTCACTGACCTTTATTCACTTTTTTCTTTCAAATGATAACAGACATGATGAAAACTATTCAGAATGGTCGGAACTTTGGACCGGCAATAATGAAAAATTTGCCTGACCGAATGGATTTTTGGCCAACCAAAAATCACCCTATTCATATGAGACAGATACAACCAGTATTATTACAGTAGCTTACTTTGATTGTGAATGTGATAGGCTTGAAATGGAAGGGAAAAAACACTTTGGGTATTATATAATTTTATTAGTGAAGTATGTCAGATGATGACTGTAAATTCAAAATTGCATCTCTTAAAAGTCCAATTTTTTACAGGTCCAGATAAACTGACCGATTGGACTGACAGTTTCAGCATGTCTGTGATAATTAAGTTACAAAAAATGCTTTAAAGAAACAAAAAAAGTAATAAACAGATTTTTTTAAGTACAGTAAATAGTAACCTTCTCAAGAAATTTTCTGTTTTCTATACCAATGTGCAGACGGCCAATTATTAATCTCCCCTGAAATAAATGCTTGAATTGCTAGCAATTATCTTTTACACTTGATTATAACCACAGCACTGTTTTTAATAGCCTTCTACATAAATGGTAAAACCTATATTTTACCTTATATTTTTATGACCAGAAATCTTTCTCATCTTCATTAGATGCACTTCTTTAAAATGCTTTAGTATTAACTTAGGCATTGCAAGAACATCTAATCTATGAAAGCCTGTAGCATGCAGGGGCGGACCCAGGATTATTTGAAGGGGGGTCTGCAGATACGAAGCCGATCCTCCACCCCACCCCACCTGACTTAGCGTGGTATTTTTGGTATTTCAGAGGGCAAACGGTGCCATATGATTCAGCTTGTCAAAATTTTAATTTCAGGAGGAGACCAGAAATCGAATCTAAATCCGGTTACAGGCAGTGTCAAACTATGCTTCATTTAGTTTAAATAAATTTTTTTTTTAATTGCCCAGTCATCTTTTATGTAGATTTACTTTTAATCAGAAAAAAAACCACTATGGAAAATACGCACCAAGATTTGCATATTTGAAAATGCTCCTTGTTGATAAATGATATTTAGTGACCCTGCATACATGACACAGGCAGTAGTGGACCATTGGCGTTTTACTGGTATTTATCAAAGCGACCGACAGCTCCGAGTAGACCCAGAAACCGAATGTAAACAAACTTTGTTTTCCATTCTCCCAAATTAACGGCGACACTCACGCATTAAAAAGCCTATAAACAAATTAACTGACTTACTGATATGTAGTGTCAATCCTCTGAAATGACTGTATGAGGCATATTCGTGTCTTTATAATTACTTATGTCTAGAACGTCAAGCACGATTGTTTACAGTCCTCGTGACTAGTCACATGACTAAAACTTGTACGGTTTCCACATTTCATTTCATTCTTGTTCTGCAGTTCATCTATTACTTTTCACATTTAAGTAAATTTTAAAAATAAATAAAAACAACCGAACAAGAAGAAATAATTTGTACTGAAATATATTTATGTGCTTTGTACTTAAATAATACAGCCTTCACAGAAGAGCCCCCAGTATTCCACGAAAAACTCTGTTCCAAGTTCCCACTTTATTTTTCTACCCTACTTCATTTGTAAGGCCGACGTGCATTGGTTATATGTTCAATGATTATCCAATAGAAAGCTAATATCTGTTAGTGATTATGACGTCATAGCACCGGAAGTGAAACTTCAGCTCAGGACAGACAACCTACTGACTAACGTACAAGGTGAATATTATTCAGGAGTGTCTTTAAATCGTTGTAATATCTCTCATAAGTTTAATTTCATAGCAAAAAAGAATCGTACTTAACACCACTATTGTTTAATTTGGTGTTTCTATTTATTATTTCAGCCTAAAAAAACACTGTTGTCGTCTTACCTTCTTGACCTCTGCAGCTGAAGAGTTCTTGCACAGTGGAGTGTTGTGTCACTCTCCAGGATCTGAAGCTGACGAAACTGCCGGTTGGCTGTTAGACACACACACAGCGAAAAACAAGTTACTTAGGCACAAGTGTTAAGCAACAACTGAGAATCGTGGGAGAAGCTATCAAGCTGGCTTACCAAAGCCCAAACCATCTCTTATTACAGACTACACAGCTCACGTTCTCATATGATTTGTTGAGTTAACATCCTACCATCATGTATCGTATAAAGACTTTAGCCGTGTGTGCCCAACCTTGGACAGCCAGAGTGTTGGCAAGTGCAGGCACTCCAGAATGCACAGCAGTAATTTTATCTAAGAGGAATGCAGTAACGAAACATTCATTTCTAAATGGAACCTCCTCAGTTTATGAAGAGGAAATGTATGAGGCATGGAAGAGAGACCCAAATAGTGTCCATAAGGTATTGTTAATGGATGCAAACACATTTTAAATCATACCACACCAGTTATTTTTCTTGGCATCAACTAACATAGCAAGAGTTGAGTTGATATCCGGATACTTTGCCATTTATCCATTTTCAGAAAGAAAAAGAAAGGGGTCGAAATTACTGCTGAGGTCATCTCAGATAGATGGCGTGAGAGCTTTAGTTATTTTAAAAAATTCTGGGACTAATGCTCTTATGTGGATGGAATATGCCATTTATGGAAAAGGTATTGCAACAGCAGCTCATTCTTAGATTTAAGCCGCCATGCAACAGAAGCATTGGAAATGATAAAGTTCTACACAACTTAGACAGATATTATTTGACAGTGAAACTGTGATGTGTGTAAGAAATGAATAGCTAATAACATGCCCATTACCTGTTAATTGGCAATACCCTTGGTGTATATTTATACACTTTTAAATCATAAAGTCTTTTTTTTTTTCTTTTGATAAATTATCATTATCTAAGACATAAATAACAGAACATGCATAAAATAGCTTAAACCACCCGAGACTTGCATTTTAACCATAAATATCCCATACCAGTGAAGTAGTCTTACTGATTTTGACAGATTTAACCGCAGGCCTGGCACGTGTGGACGGCCGGGAGATCTTTAGAGGATTACTTTTATATGGGTTGGCCATATTTTGACATGGAGGAAATATTAAGTCATGATTAAGTATTCTACTTCCTGAGGCAGTCATGAAATGCATGTCAACATTAGAGATAGCTATAATTTAAACAGTGGCCACTGTTAGGAAAAGTGGGAATTGTCCAGGGGGGAATTGTCGTAGAATCATCTTAATCACATTATCATGTTACTAAACCTCAGGGCATATCAGTGTCAAAAAGATCTGACAAGATAAAAATGGCCTCAGTTATGACACATCAAATATTGAAATTTGCAGTGCATAATTTTGAAATTGTGGCAGCATTGTAATGCCATGTGAAAAAAATAATATGGAGGTTCATAGTAACAACTTTTTTCTTATCTGCCACTTTAGAAATCAACTCTTACCTAAGATAACCTTTTCACTCCTTTTGACCAATATATTTTCAAAAGTCTTAAAAAAAGAAGAGAAAATCATTATTGGGAATGTGTACTAGTATTTATTTTTTCACATAGCATTTAAATACTGCAGTATGAAACAAACTAAATCCTATAATTAACATTTTTCTAACAATTTTCTTATTTTATACTGCTTAATAATTCCACTTGATTGCTATCTATTTTGTATATTTAATAATATTGCAGTCCTGAGATGCAAAGACTTTGCCAACAATTCCCCATGTACCATTAGTGTCTTGCTGATATGTTGTTCCTGGCTTATTCAAGATTGTCATGTGACATTTCAGTCGTGGGATGCGTACTTCTCCAATGATTTCATATACCAGCCACCCCCGTCCATAAGCAGCTCCTTAAGTGTTCCCACGTCAACGGCGACAGCAGCCCCTACCTCCAGGGCTGAAACAGAACTTGATATCATACAACACCAAAATATTCAAAGGTTGATCAGAGCCTACCAGGTAAATAAATGACTATTGTTGTTGTCATTAGTATTGTTATTGTTTGCGAAGAATGGCTGTTATTTTCAATGTATATATTATAAATGGTATCTGTTGTGAACTAAAAGTAATGAATCATGTATATATTTGTGGGCCTAGGCCACAGTTTTAAATTATTGTGTCTTCTTATATCATTTTATTGTATAACGTTGTGGATCAACTTGTTCTGAATCTGCCCTATGAAATGTCTTTTCTTTTCAATATTTGTCCTCCTATCCATATCTATTCTCTGCCAAGTTAACATGAAGTACTGGCGTTGGTTTTTTTAAGCTCTATTTCAGTGTAAGCTAAATAAATGTACATATCATACATTTGGATGGAAACTAGGTCAGATAAAAGACAGCTCGGACAGGTGGTCGTAACCTTTTGCCATACATACCACGGGAAATGACCACAACGTTGGAGATCATACTTATTTAGCATACTTATCTTTTGTGTAAATATACAATATGGGAAAAGGTACAGTGCTCACTCTGTGTGTGTGTGTGTGTGTGTGTGTGTGTGTGTGTGTGTGTGTGTGTGTGTGTGTGTGTCATTTTGTGGTTCCCGCTTTGTAATATTACTCTAATGCAGTTCAATTTTCAGCTCTTTCCAGACAAAAATGTGAATCAACTGTTTATCGTTCCTGATGCTATTGCAGATACTTGCAGACCTGGGCCCCGTATCTCGTAAGCTTCGCTATGTTGCGCACGTGCGCAAGCGTCTCGATTCCATTACTTGTCCCATATTATAAACTGTAGCCTCTTTTTGATATATTATCGCAATACACGATGCTTTCGAGATACGGGGCCCTGGTTTAATTACACCATTATTCAAGTAAAACCTTTCTAGATAGACATCACAGTGGTCTACATCATCTGTTTACTTTGTAATATGCCCCTTTCAATTTCATGGCTTTTCCTGAATTGACATATTGTCTGCATTGTCAACTTAATCATGTGTTTGTGTGTCTTATGCTTAATATAAATATAAAGTGAATTACAAGAACACATCTGGCCTGTAGGGGCCTCACAGTATTCCAGATAATTACAAGTTGTGAAGTCATCGGGGTGTAATTTTGATATTTAGATTTATTACAAACTTTATCTGCATTTGCTTTTTTTTTTCTGTATTTTTGTATACAGAGACGAGGAAAATTGTAAGATTTTTATTTGTTACATGTTTTTACTTCTACCCTGGTAGAACATCAGAATGTTGTTTCACTATTTGTTTTTCATTTTCAAATCAACTTCATATGGTCTTGTCTCTCTTGGTGTTTTTCCTCTTTCTGTACATGCAACACCTCTCTTCTAAAGCCTGTTCATTCAATATGTAAACGCAACTATTTTCTGAAGTAACAAAAAACGATTGCAAGCTTTGTCTCTATCCCTTTCCATCACAGAGAATAATCTCCACTAATGTTCTACTAATCTCCAATCCCTAGGTCCATGGGCATAACATTGCAGATTTGGATCCTCTGGGAATTCTGGCTGCTGACCTTGATTTCAGTATTCCTGAAGGCTTGATTCTGGAAAATTATGGGTTTGGTAGGTTCTTGGGGAGGGAGATATTTGCTCTGAAAACTTGTTCTAGGTATTGATTTTCCAAGAGAGGAATAGGTGAAGCTGTGTTCACACATAGGGCTGTTTAAGACCTGACCGAAATATGTCATTTGATATGCCATCAGACATACGCACATTTTGAGTTTAAAAATTGTTATCTCTCTGTAATCCAGGCCAGTGCGCAGAGAAATTTCTATAAAATCTTTATTGATGTGACTTCAAATTATATAGTTGATATTTAGCCTGAAACAATGCTATTTGTGAATGCAGCCATGTTTAGCATCATCTTGGCAAAAATGGAATTGTCTCATTTGCACATAAATTGCTGTTGATCTTGGTACAGAATTTGCCTAGAAAGGCAAGGAACTCTCATGGATATTTATCTGGAACAATATTGCAAAAGACATCAGTGTTCCATTTTGTGTTATTGAGAACTTCATATTTTCATTTCAGTGTCTTTTTGCCTGTTGTAAATTTTGTTTTGTAATCAGCCATGCCTAAGTTCCAATGTCTGTTGAAACAGGCTCAACCCACTTTATTATTTTGGCATCTTAATTTTACAATGTTTCATCAAAATCTTGGAGATTTCTTTTTTTTTCTAAAAGTTATATATATTTTTCCCAATACTTAATGTTGAATTATAAAAAAAGTGAATTTGACCTACTTTAAAACCAGTTTTCTTTGTCAAACCAGGTTTGCCTGACCTAACTGATATAACTCTATAGATTTTGTCATGTCATCCATAACTTATGTAGTTATTGTGACTAATATATTTACCATTGAACATTTACTTTTCCACCAGACATTGCTATTTGGTGTTGCATACCTGTTTGAGCACCCATCTCACACCTCTAACAATATTGTCACCCTTTCTTCTTTGTTTTGTGTGGGAAAATTGAAAGGAAAATGAGTTATACTAACATTGCTAATCATAAATATGATTTTATTGCATCAGCAGCATCATTTGTTTGCAGGTTGTTAAGATCAAGATCAAAGCAAAATTCTTTTCAGAACTGGCTGCATTTTGACTCATGACTTTCTATGATGGTAGCTTGCTCTTTAAGCCAGGCACAGACCTAAATGAGTTAAAGAATCTGAGCACAAACTGTGTTTGTTTTGACAAACTACAAACTCAATGAAAGGCAGGATAGCATTACGCATACAGCTTTGCAGCTAATATGCTTGAGAGGGAAATTCTCATATTGGTGATAAATGTGGTATGTGTATATATGTCACCCTTTGCCAGTCTGCCTGTCAGAGTTGCTTTACTTGCATGCATTTCTGTTTGTTTGTGAATATTCCACCCATTCCTTGTAGGTTCGTGGTCACCTAAACAGCCAGTTAGATCCTCTAGAAATAGGTTCTGGCCATGTATCTGAGGAGCAGTTGGGTTTGGCTCTTCAACTGTTTGATATTGGTAAGAATTCTCTTGTGCCATCCTACATGTAAATCTTGCTCTACTGTCACTTCCTGCCTCTATCTTTCATACTTAAATTTCTTTCCCTTTGGTTCTATTCTCTTATTAAGTTTTTTAAAATATGTATCAGTGGCTGTAAATGTCATAAGTGTACAGCACCAAATGTTTAATGGACTCATTTCCAGTCCAGTCTTAGGGGCCATTCCCAGACCCTATCATACTAATTGTAGATCGATCTATCTCCAAGGGGATTCTCATTAAATTTTAACTTAAGCAGCTTTGATGTCTGACGCTCCTACTGAAGCTGCTAGGGGGTAATAAATTATCGTTTAGCAGCTTCAGTAGGTGTGCCAGACATCTAAGCTGCTTAAGCTGAAAGCAATTTAGGGAGAAAACCCCTTGGAGATAGATCAATCCTGTTAGATTGATGTAGGTATGGGAACCCAGTCTAAAGATGTCACAACTCGAGGGAAAATTTGCCATTATTAAGCTTTGTACCATCACTCATATAATCTGTCAAAATACACTGGTTCTCTGATGCTGTCAAGTATGAATGGATTAATACTTGCTCGAGAAGTTGTTGATGGCATTTGGTGTGCTACAAATAGTCCAGTAACATTACACTTTTGCAGAGAGTTAAGTAAAATGTTTTTTTTTTTAAGAATTGAATGCAGTTGATATAGCAGTATCTTTGTTTTGCGTTTATTGTGGAATCATTTTATATAATGTGTTCATGGCAGGACTCTAAGAAGTAGAATGCTTGCAGTTTGTGGTTGGAAATTTTGCTTTTTCAGTTAATGTTTTAAATAGCAGGGTGAAATATTTATAGAAGTGGGAAGTTTAGAAAATTTTGTTATTTGTTGTAAGCTACAAATACTCACTCCTTTGTTTGCTTTTAAGTTAGAATTTACAAGCACTGTGAATTGATTTATTATTAATTTATTAAATAAGATATTTTCAATTTTATGCAGAATGTCAGATGCTAGTCATATGTTTCTGAGTCATTACTGTGATAGACATGATGAATAACTATTTCTGTGAACTTAGGTGAGAAAGATCTGGATAAAGAATATATTCTGCCACCAGTGACTGCTGTAGGTGGCCAAGAGGCAAAGCTTCAAGGTGCAGAAATTTTAAATCGAATGAAGGTAAATGTTTTCTTTTAAAAGGTTATTACTATGAACATTTGTACAAGCAGACACTGGAGCATAATGGTTGCTGCTACAGTCTGGTTGACATGTGATTTTGTTCATTGTTTGATTGGTTTTCATGAATTTTTACCAACTTGAAAGATGGCCAAGGTGTTTACATCTAGTTGACAGCTTCATTACAGACTTATTAATAGAATTAATACCGTTTGCTGCCATCTTATTTATGTGTGCTACTCTGAAGTCACCTTCAGTGCAATTAATTTCTACAATTGCAAACAGCAATTCTTTGAAATTACAAATGCTGATGCCATGTATAATTATATATTCACATTCTCTCATTTGTAATATTCATGTTTTGAATGTTTTTAGAGTATCTACTGTGGCACAATAGGCATAGAGTACATGCACATCAACAATGTGGAACAATGTGACTGGCTGAGGGAGAAGTTTGAAACCCCAGGCATTAAAGAGAGCACCACTGAGGAAAAGAAACTCCTCCTGGCAAGACTTATACGTGCTGAAGGGTAATATGAACCATGTTTTCTCCTCATATGTACCTAGGCACACACACAGGACTGTGTTATTTTGGAAATCAAATATATATAAATACCTGTTTTGTTTTTCTCAGCAAGGTCAATAGAAATGTATACAGATCTTACCATAAATGATGTGTTTCGTTCAATGTAACTTCTAGAAGTGTGCCGTGTGTAAACAGAACTCATTTCTTTTTCTTTGTGTGGATTTTCTTTTTTATTCATTCATTTTGCGAGTACTAGAATTTAGCTGCTCACTACAGTACATGGATTTCCATATAAAAAAATTAATGTCCCTACACCTGATGGTGTGTAGGTTTTTAAGGCAAACCACAATATTTCAATAATTTGAATGATATTTCTTTACTGACATTACATTTGCATATTTTCAGATTAGAGGAATTTTTTGCCAAGAAGTGGCCTTCAGAGAAACGTTTTGGACTGGAAGGCTGTGAAGTGTTGATCCCTGGTCTTAAGACAATTATTGATGTGTCCAGTGATTTAGGGGTGGACACCTTCATCGTAGGAATGCCTCATAGGTATGTTTTTATACATGTGTGATGGGTAAAGTGGACGTTTACTACAGTGAGTGTTTACAAGTGAAGTCATGGGAAAATGAGAAGAAATTGTCTGATTGTGATGATGTGATTATCAAATGTTATCATTAGTGAAGAATTTCATCTGCTGTGTTAAACACTTAGTTACATTGCTGGTTTTACTGATCACCAGCCAAAATCACCTGTTCACTGAAACGTACAAAAATGTTGGAAAACATTAATTCTTACAAAGGCGTTTACTGTGGAAACTGTATTTGTGACTTTTATAATATCTGTATTAAAATCAATACATTACTGATAACGGCCAAAATCACCTGTTCCCTGAAATGTATAGACAAACTCTAACAAAGCCGTTTACTGTAGAAACTGTCATAGTGACTTAATATCAGTATCAAAATCTATACATTAATATATCTTTTAACCAACAGGGGTCGATTAAATGTCCTGGCCAATGTGTGCCGCAAACCACTGGCAAAGATCATCTGCCAGTTTCACTCCAACATCAAACCAGCTGAAGAAGGTTCCGGTGATGTGAAGTATCACTTGGGGACCTTTGTAGAGAGGGAGAACAGGATGACCAATAAGCAGGTCAAGATTGCCGTTTGCGCCAACCCCTCCCATTTGGAGGCTGTCGGTCCTGTTGTTCAGGGCAAAACTAGAGCGGAACAGTATTACAGGGGAGACAAGCAAGGGAAGAAGGTAAAATCAGTGTTTGGATGAGGGAAATGCAAGTAAAGTGCCTCACAAAATGTAGAACTGAGGAAAAGGGGTTATCATCTGAGTTATTGTTGCTTACTTCCACCACTTTTGTGAGTTTGCTCAATTTATTCTGTGACTTTGATTCCAATTTTGTTGCCTTTATTATATAGCACAAACATGACAAGGGTTAGGTGGTTGGAAAAAAATCACTGACCATAAATTATAGGAAGCAGTTGTCCTGCCACTGTGTGACATTCATCTCAGTGAACATGTACTTCAATGCCTTTTTTAACAAAACATAAAAAAGTTCCCATCTATAGATATATGATATCCAGTACAAAATATTTTGAGAGAAAGCACTATTGGTGATACCCTTTTAGGTGATGAGTATACTGATGCATGGAGATGCTGCATTTGCTGGCCAGGGGGTGGTCTATGAGACGTTCCACTTGAGTGACCTTCCCGCCTACACCACCCATGGCACCATACATGTGGTGGTCAACAACCAGGTAGGTACCAGGGGGGCGGGAAGACTTTATTTATTTATTTATTTTCATTATTATTATTACTTTTTTCATGCAAGATGAGCATGAAAGGGAAGTTTCTTCCATATTAATGACAAAAAGAAAAGAGCAGACATGCTGAAACTGTCAGTCCGATCAGTCATGACTGGCAAAATTTGTCTGGACCGGTAAAAAATTGGACTTGGTTGGTCCAGAGGACCAACAAGAGTTTTAAGAGCTGCAATTTTGAATTTACAGTCATCATTCGGCATACTTCACCAATAAAATTAAATTGGACCCAAAGTGTTTTTTGCTTTCCATTTCAAACCTATCTCATTCACAAACAAAGTAAGCTACCCTAATAATACTGGTAGTATCGGTCTCAAACAAATAGGGTGATTTTTGGTCTGTCAAAAATCCATTCGGTCCGGCAAATTTTTCATTTCTGTCGGTCCAAATGTCTGACCATTCTGAATAGTTTTCAGCATGTCTGAAAGAGTGTCAACACACTCCCCAAAAATGCACTAGTGAGAAAGTGCTTCATTTGCAACCTGGAATACAGTAGCTCGTGTTCTGTTACTAGTTTTGAAATGCTTTCTTAACATATTTACATACAGGTATACATCCTTTTCATTTTCTCATCAGAGTAATTGGTCCTTGTAATAATATGTAATCATTTTCTTACTTGTTGCCTAGAACGTGTGTGTGATATTAAAATATTTCTACTCTTTTCAAGATAAAGATTAACCCCAAGAATTTTGACCGTTTGAATACATAAGAGATGAAAGTCTTCCACGTTTATCTTAAAGATATTTGTGTTGTATTTAGACCCAGCCCCTCCCATCCCGACTTTCACTTTAATCTCTGATACGTTTACCCAATCAAATCCACTTCTAAATTCAGATTGGCTTCACCACTGACCCCCGTATGTCCCGTTCATCGCCCTATTCCACCGATGTAGCGCGGGTCGTGAATGCTCCTATCTTCCACGTGAATGCAGACTACCCAGAAGATGTGAACTACGCTTGCAAAATCGCAGCTGAATGGAGAGCCACCTTTCAAAAGGATGTAGTCATTGATTTGGTAGGAATTATTTAAAGGATGTAGTTTGCTTGTGAAATATAATATAAAATTATTGTATTTGTGAAATTTTCCTATTGCTTCAATATAACAGTTTCCAGCTTATGCTTGATGAACATCAGGATATTTCATTTAAAAGGTAATGATTGTTGAAGAATTAAGTAACATAGAGCATCTTGGTGAATTTCTGCCCACTTGGCCTTAAATAGGATAAAGCATATACTGATACTTGCAAATTCTTGCAATTTCACTGAGCAACACAATTGTTTGTTCAAAAAAGTCGTTGTGAATATTTCTTTCTTGTTTTCAAGTTTTATTTCAGTAAATATCATTAAAATATGTTTTTGTTTCATTGTCATTGCCTTTGTTTCCTAACTGATTAATCAAACCACGTAACTGTTTTCTAGGTTGTTTGTTTATTTGTTTCTATACAGGTGGGTTATCGTAGATACGGTCACAATGAGATAGACCAGCCAATGTTCACTCAGCCTTTGATGTACAAAAAGATTAACCAGCAGACCACTGTGAAGGTGAAATATGCACAGCATCTGTTAAATACTGGAGTTGTGACTGAGGAAGAACTTAAGGTATTTAATCTTTAGTACAAATTCATCCCTAGTTGCTGAGCATATTTGTAGATTATAAGTATTTTCCTTATATGAACTATATATTTATTTGTTTTTTTTTCATTGGGGTCACTCTGGCATCTTTTTAGGATGTTCTGAGAAAATATTTTGCTTTAAATAAATTATAATTGATAAATATATTTTTAATGACATATGACAAAAAAAAAAAAAAACAAAAAAAAACAGTGCTACATCCATGTAAAATTTCACCCCCAGGCTGAAGAACAGAAGTATCAGAAGATTCTTGAAGAAGGCAATGTTCTGGCCAAGCAAGAAACTGCCATGCACAACAGAGACTGGCTAGACTCACCATGGAAGAACTTTTTTGAGCATAAGGATCCAATGCAGAGACCTGAAACTGGCATTAATTTGAAAACCCTCCAACATATTGCAAAGGTGGTGAACTCGCCACCACCAGATAAAGAGTTTAAGGTCCATCCAGGTAATTGTGTATTTTCGTTTTAGGTTGTGATAGGCTGCACTTCCTTTTTGTGTTATGCTCAATTGTCAGATAAATTGATGCTAATAGAAATATTTTTCTTCATAAGTTAGGCATTTTATTAATGCGTATGATAATTTCTCAGTTTAGAGTATGAACATTTTAGGGAGAAATGCCCTTTAAGACTGACTGCTTACATTGAAAATTTATAAAAATAATAACAATTATCATTTCTTTTGGCTTATTGTCAGGTATTCTCCGTATTCTAAAGAGTGGACGTGACATGGAGAAGGAAAAGATGGCAGACTGGGCACTGGGAGAGAAACTAGCCCTCGGCTCCCTTCTCATGGAGGGCTACCATGTCAGGCTGAGTGGCCAGGATTCAGAGAGAGGCACATTCAGGTACAATTCTATAGAAAAACCTTATTTTGTTGACAGCATGTTATTGTGGGCATTTAGTATGGTCAGTTGTGGAAAGATTTTTGCTTTAAAAGGTTGTAGCAATGTGAATTAGAATGAAAAATGTTCATGAGCTTGGTTTTTGCACTATACAATGAGAAATTCTCACTGTCGTCACTGCATGTGTTTAAGGATTTTTTAATTGTGTAGAACAAACCTTAGATATTTATTGAAAGATATTGGTTATCACACCAAAGCTAACAAATACGTAATTTTGTTTTCTAATCTAGCCACCGTCATAGTGTTATTCATGATCAGGATCGTGATAAGAAATTTTACGTGCCCCTCAACCACCTGAATGACTCCCAGGCCCACTTCACAGTCTGTAACAGCTCTCTGTCTGAATACGCTGTGCTAGGTAAGTGCAACTCATACTAAACACTACGTCAAAGTTGCAACTGAATTGACCTAAGTTATCGGCCATTAGACTCAATTTGATCTTTTTCACACAGTTTTTAATTTCTTAAGTCAAAATGTCTTTTTTTTTTTTTTTTTTTTTTTCAAATGCCATGTTCTCAGAGAAATATATATGTTTAAATTAAAGAAGTGGTATTACAAAATAGATCATATTGTGTAAATTAGATGTGAAATGAAATATCTTATGCTTTATTTATTTATTTATTTATTTATTTATTTATTTATTTATTATTTCTATTGCAGATTATTATATGTTTTTGAATGCCTCAATTATCAGCAGCTATAATAATTCCATTCGCATTTTGTTCTAAATGAAAACTCCCAGAATTTTGAAAATGAAAGAAAAAGAAAATAAAGAAATATATATAATATATTACAAACTTGTTTATTTTGAACCATTTAACATCCAAGGTCTCCCTGTGTTTAGGTTTTGAAGTAGGTTATGCTCAGACCAACCCCAACTCCCTGGTCATTTGGGAGGCCCAATTTGGCGACTTTGCCAACACCGCCCAGTGCATCATAGACCAGTTCATCAGCAGTGGCCAGGACAAGTGGATGAGACAGCTGGGAATCGTGCTTTTCTTGCCTCATGGCATGGAAGGAATGGTGAGGAGTTATGCTCAGGCAAACTTTTTTTTTTATACAAAGGATACATCGCTTTCTTAAATAGCATCCAGCATATGTCAGTGAGATTGTTCATGGTTCGAAGAAATTGTATTTACTGATGTTTTTGTGATAGTAATTGCTTACTTTGGAACCAAATATCAGCGAAACACATATTGTCACAAGGTTACCAATACCCAACAGCCTGATGATGCTCTTGTGATGAGCAAAACCATCAGTAAACATTCAGTACAACTTCAGTTCTGTACCCAAGGGAACAGATTTGACAACTTCTTTGCCACATCAACTCTCATATTCTGGATTTCTATTTTAAACCAGTTCTTCCAGTTGAATTCAAACTAAGTCTTTCTTGTTGGAAAAAATTTTTAAAGCCATATATGTATACATATATTTGTATGTACAGTTTTGTTTGTTCCTGTTGATAGTTGTGTTTTATGTATGTATGTATGTATGTATGCACACGCGCACACACACATATTTTTCATGTACTTATTCTCTTGTAGGGTCCTGAACACTCCAGTGCTCGCTTGGAAAGATTCCTGCAGATGTGCAACGATGATTCAGACTTGTTTCCCGTAAGTACATTTTGAATACAGATACTGTTTGTGTCTGTATGTGTTAAAATGGAGCAATGAGAATGGCTTTATTTTAATGTTACTTGTCTGTATATTTGCAACTATTGCTGTCTACTTTAACAGCTATAACTGCCACTTGATTGTGATTGTGCGAAGTTCTTTTGATTTTACACTATGAACATTTGCGTGTGTTGAAACTGTAAGAACTTATTTAGATGTTCAATTTGCAAAAAAGAAACCTTTTTTGTATCTGTCTTTGATTAATCGTGCTCAAGCATGAACATGGCATTCTTATGTTTAGGATTTGTAATTATTCACAAAGCAAAATGTCAATATTCTGTATTTCAGAAAATAGATGCAGACTTTGTGATGCAGCAGTTACACGAGATCAACATGATAGTGGTGAACTGCACCACTCCAGCCAACCTCTTCCATGTGATCAGGAGGCAGATCTACTTGCCCTTCAGAAAGCCGGTATGTTTACATATTGGAAGGAAGTGAAAAAAAAAGAATTATTTGATTTTTAAAAGGATCAAAATTGATCGGGGTATTTAGAATTAGAGAGCAATTTGATGGATGGAAGGGTTGATTGAATAATTTCTAATGTTATCGCCCTTTGAATTCCACTTATTTGGTATGCTATGTTCTCGTTCAGTTATTAATAATTTATAATTTCATTAATATATATAATCAGCAATTACTGACAGTCATGTTTGTCGAGTTTTTCTTAGTGGTTTTCCTCCTGCTTGCAGTTAATCATGATGTCACCTAAGAGCCTTTTGCGTCATCCCATGGCCCGATCGAAATTCGATGAGATGATAGAGGGCACCAAGTTTAGGCGCCTGATCCCAGAAGAGGGTGGCGCCCAGGAAGACCCAACTTCTGTAGAGAAGTTACTGTTCTGCACTGGCAAAGTGTACTATGAGTTGGTGAAGGAGAGACAGGCCAATAACCTTGATGAGAAAGTTGCTATTGCCAGAATTGAACAGGTTGGCAGACTTGTCCTCACAGTTACATTCGATTCATTACAATTGTTGCCAGTTTTGGAAAATAAAAGACACTGAAATTTTATTTATTTATTTATTTATTTATTTATTTATTTATTTATTTATTTTCTTGTTTTCAAATTTCTATATAAAAGTCACAAGTTGGGTCTGTATCTATTAAAGTATATTCATATTTTGGGAATAGTTTTGTTATATGTCATTAATTTTCATCACATTTTCCATCCAGATTTCCCCGTTCCCATTTGACCTGGTCCAAGAAGAATGTAATAAATACTCCAGTGCCAAGATTTGCTGGGTGCAGGAAGAACACAAGAACCAGGGGGCATGGTCCTACATCCAGCCCCGTCTGGACACTGTCCTGAGGAAGACCACACGCAGGGACAAAGGAGCAGTCAGGTGGGCAATCAGTTTATTAGATTACTTCCCACAGTCGCTGACTAGTTGATGAAGATTATAAGACATACAGTGGAGAAAGTATAACACGTTTTTATTCTTATTGATAGACTTGATGGTCTGTATGGGAAGATGATAAATATGACTTTTACAGTGTGGACAACCTTTTAAAATGAGGACACAGGACTGTCTGTCATAGTTATCAGCTATTTACAGATATTGTAAGACCAGAAATAGATATAGAAAGTATACATACATATGCTTAAACTCTTCTTCATACAAACTTTCATTATCTTCTATCACTGTTGCTTATGTATTATATGATATTTGTAATTCTCAGTAACACCCAGATAGAGAAAATCGATGTGTTCTTAATGGTATAAGTTATATGTATTTTGAAAAGCATTATGTCACATTTTTCTAAAGTTTATGTATGCACATACTTGAAAATCCCCAATGAGAGAGATAATAGGTCAGTATGATAAAGCTTTGATGATTAATTAAAAACTTTATAAATTTATTTGTTTATTAAATTTTATTTTGCAGATACATTGGGCGACCTTCAGCTGCCTCACCTGCTTGTGGGAACAAGAGAATGCATGAAGATGAGCGAAATGTTTTCCTCAGAACTGCTTTCGAGCTGAACGATTAATTACGAGGGCTGACATTAAACACTCAAAAGTGCTATTTAGTGGTGATAAACTTTTAGCGTCAGAATCTTTTTATTTATACATAAAGACTGCATACAATTAAGATTCCAGTAAAAATGGTAATCTCCAAAGTGTAGCCTGCAAATCGCACAATTTTAAGAGAAAAAACAACAACTTGCATCTCGACTTTATTTATTAAACATATTTATAGCTATTTATAGTATACATTGTGTAAGAAGATTTGCCCATTTAGATGGAGAGGAATGTTGAACAAATCTCAAGTTTTCCTTGGTTAGAAAACTGTTTTTAAATTATTCCTTAAATTAAATAACAGGTAAATACTGTTAGTCCAAAGAGATAACTTATATCATGTAGAAGAGTAATATATATTAGTGTGGTTGCACAGGGTCAGATTATTGTTTCAGAGAGCATGTTGTATAGCTGGCCCCCTCAGGGTAATGCCTATTTGCTATGCCATTACTTGTTATTGTATAACAATCATAGATTTTAAAACTTCAAAGCCTGAGGCACTGGCTGCCACTTATGAACAGATGTGATCTAGGTGTGTTATACGCTCATTGAAATGGACTTGAATTCTATAAGACTTGGCATTTAGTAATTGTCATTAAACCACCAACTGGAGAAATGATTGAATGATGATCAAATGAGGTTTAAAGTTTGTGTCAGTTTGTGTTAATTTTATTTGTGGTAAATTATTGAAGTGATCACTGTAGTGATTTTGACTGAAATGGCGTGTCTTCAATTTTAATAAGCACCATTAAAGGAAGATGTATTTCTGGGTTGTTTAAGAAACCATTGTCTGTATTGCAAGTCAACAGATTAAAGTGAATAAAACAAAGTTATACCTGTGTTAATATTTTGTAAGTTTATTCAGATGAAATTTATGTTGTAAATCTATATATCTCTGTAACATCAATGTATTCTTTTAAGTGTTTTCTACAGCTGGAATCGTACTGCTTAAAACGTTTATCAATTTGTGTGAAAAAAAAAAGAATGTGACGAACCTGTCACCTCAAAAAAGTATTATCCAAAATATCATCAGTTTGACAAAGAAAACTAATAACTTCTATAACTGTGAACTTGTCCATGCTTCTCATTAACCGTCGTTTTATTAGTCCAATCAAGATTGAGCTTAATTGTTTGATTAATAGACTATTTGAGTGATTATATTTGATCTCATCAGATCTATTTAAAATGCCTTCTTCACTGCATCTAGTGCCTGAGCACACAGACTGTCCAGCTGCCCATCTCCACCTGAATGAGAAAAAATATGGTATCTTTGTAAAATATGTAAGATCAAACTGCAGTATTCATCAGTTGCATTTACTTTACCAGCATACAGTGCAGTGATGGCAAGCAATAAGAATTAAATTTGTATTTGTAGCACTGGGTTTTACATGAATCTTTCATTCCTATTTTTACTGTTGAAATAGTAATCATGATACTTGGTATCTATTTTTTCACTTGAATTAATATCATTTTTCATCTTATGAAAATTTCATCACCAGATTATTTTTTAATGTAGTTTACCAAATTCCAGATCTTTGATGTTGCATGTGAATATTAGTTCCCCATTCACATAGAGTTGTACTGTATTATGATCGGCCATCTTTTGTAGGTCTACCTGATGGCCATCTCTAGTTAGAACAGCTGAAATGAGTTAAATTATTAAAAACTAATCAAGCGAGCATGCACATCAATCGGAACGGTAAAAAACATCCTAATTACTTTTCATCAAAATAAAGGTTAAACAAGAAAAAAAAAACACATAACATGGGCACACAATGTCACTTACTCTGCAGTCCTTGTAACCTCTCCTCTCTATGATCCACAACTCCACACGATTCATATGGTCCGTAGCACACGACTACACGGGCGTTTTCTGGCATTTTGGATAGCTGGTCTGTTAACCCTCCTTAATAAAAAAATAAATAAATAATAAAGCAAAAACTCAACTTTAAATTTTGATGCCAAATAACAAAGGAAATTTTCTGTCAGCTGAAGACAAATAACCGCATAGTTGCAGCCGTAGAAGATTAAAGTTCTATAAAGTCAAGCACTGCCGTGGCACTGACAGGCCGTAGAAACTGAGACAAGCTGAAAAAAATTCAACACAATTTCTTAAATTGTAGTAAATATATCTACACAATAAAATCATGCTTTAGTAGGTTTCTGTATCTACTGGATAACTGATAATTCCACTGAATACCATTCTACCATCAGATTAAGTCTATGCAAACAATAGGGAGAAGAAGAGCACTAAAGAATTCCGTATACCTGCATTTTGTGTACGGTTTCCAGGAGTAAACTATCGAAAATAGGTCAAATGTAGATCCGCACCAAATGGTAAATTATGAAATCAAAATTAATAATCACGCTGATGATGAAATTATAATAGCATAGATGGTAAAGATTAAAATTGCTTCGTATGATTGACATTCACAGTACTTCGATACTGCAGCTATTAAGTACATAAATCAAAGCCATTTACGAACCCTTGCGATAAAAACAAAGCCGACCTTCGCAGTTTGGGAGACGTGCAGTTAGGCGCTGATGAGATGGCTAACCGTGTGCGATGCCTTAGTCGTTTAAGCCAAAACTTTGGATTTTCATCAAGTGCAAGGTATATTTTAGTCGATCGATGGTTAGATTGTTTACCAAGAAAAGGGTTGCAAATTCTTGTGTGCCTTTCCCAAACCCGAAATAGCTGCATTTTAGCAGTTCGCGATNCGTGGCACTTGTTGTAACGCACCCTTGTCAAATATTTTGAAAATTCAATGCTAAATATCTCCAATACCTAAGGAATTATGGGAAAAATTTCTACAGATGGCTGACCGAAAGTCATATGTGGAGTTTTCAAATATGCCCTTGGATTTGACCTTTGACCTTTATTTCAAGGTCAAACGGGCCAAAATTTTCTAAAAATGGGAATTTTTTGCAAAAAAATTATTATTTTATGCCGAGTTTCAGAAATTTCAGATCTAACTTATAATATTATGGACAGGTGTTACCCTTAGGGTCTTCTTTCATCTTTGTGAGTTTGGGGTCAATCGGTGCATTTTCACGGGAGCAGCGGCCATTAAATGCCAAAACTGAAAACTCTCCAATTCTGGAACTGTTAATGCTAGAGACCTCTTGTTTTTTGCATTTTGTAGAGCTTATCAAGCGCAACACTGAAGGTGGTGTCCGTTATTTGTTTTCGATACTGCTTAGGCATTGCACTTTATCGAAAAGTTCAACATCCAATATTTATTTAGTGGTGAAAATAAAAAGTGAAATACTACAAAATTAGCAGAGAAACGCCCATAGTTACTGTTGAACTTGAATAGGAAGTCATATACTTGTAATCTAACTGTGACCTTGAAATTGACCTTTGACCTACTTTTCATGATTTGCAAGTTTTCTGATTTTTATATCTCCAAAACTGGCAAAGATATGCTGATAGTTACTGTTGAACTTAAATAGGAAGTCATATACTGGCAATCTAACTGTGATCCTGAAATTGACCTCTGACCTACTTTTCACCATGAACTGAACTTTGCAAATTTTCCAGCCCTTATATCTCTTAAACTGGCAAAGATATGCCCATAGCTACTGTTGAACTTGAGTAGGAAGTCATATACTGGCAATCTTATTGTGACCTTTAAATTGACCACTGACCTACTTTTCACCATGAACTGAACTTTGCAAATTTTCTCTCCCTTATATCTCAAAAACTGACAGAGATACATCATTAGTTACTATTGAACTTCAATAGGAAGTCATATACTGGCAATCTAATTTGAATGATATTTCTTTACTGACATTACATTTGCATATTTTCAGATTAGAGGAATTTTTTGCCAAGAAGTGGCCTTCAGAGAAACGTTTTGGACTGGAAGGCTGTGAAGTGTTGATCCCTGGTCTTAAGACTATTATTGATGTGTCCAGTGATTTAGGGGTGGACACCTTCATTGTAGGAATGCCTCATAGGTATGTTTTTATACATGTGGGATGGGTAAAGTGGACATTTACTACAGTGAGTGTTTACAAGTGAAGTCATGGGAAAATGAGAAGAAATTGTCTGATTGTGATGATGTGATTATCAAATGTTATTATCAGTGAAGAATTTCATCTGCTGTGTTAAACACTTAGTTACATTGCTGGTTTTACTGATCAGCAGCCAAAATCACCTGTTCACTGAAACATACAAAAATGTTGGAAAACATTAATTCTTACAAAGGCGTTTACTGTGGAAACTGTATTTGTGACTTTTATAATATCTGTATCAAAATCAATACATAACTGATAACAGCCAAAATCACCTGTTCCCTGAAATGAATAGACTAACTGACTAACTCTAACAAAGCCGTTTACTGTAGAAACTGTCATAGTGACTTAATATCAGTATCAAAATCCATACTTTAATATATCTTTTATCCAACAGGGGTCGATTAAATGTCCTGGCCAACGTGTGCCGCAAACCACTGGCAAAGATCATCTGCCAGTTTCACTCCAACATCAAACCAGCTGAAGAAGGTTCAGGTGACGTGAAGTATCACTTGGGGACCTTTGTAGAGAGGGAGAACAGGATGACCAATAAGCAGGTCAAGATTGCCGTCTGCGCCAACCCCTCCCATTTGGAGGCTGTCGGTCCTGTTGTTCAGGGCAAAACTAGAGCGGAACAGTATTACAGGGGAGACAAGCAAGGGAAGAAGGTAAAATCAGTGTTTGGTTTAGGGAAATGCAAGTAAAGTGCCTCACAAAATTATTGGTGCTTACTTCCACCACTTTTGTGAGTTTGCTCAATTTATTCAGTGACTTTGATCCCAATTTGTTACCTTTATTATATAGCACAAACATGACAAGGGTTAGGTGGTTGGACAAAAATCACTGACCATAAATCATAGGAAGCAGTTGTCCTGCCACTGTGTGGCATTCATCCCAATGTACATGTACTTCAATACCTTTTTTAACAAAACATAAAAAAGTTCCCATCTATAGATATATGATATCCAGTACAAAATATTTTGAAAGAAAGCACTATTGGTGATACCCTTTTAGGTGATGAGTATACTGATGCATGGAGATGCTGCATTTGCTGGCCAGGGGGTGGTCTATGAGACGTTCCACTTGAGTGACCTTCCCGCCTACACCACCCATGGCACCATACATGTGGTGGTCAACAACCAGGTAGGTACCAGGGGGGCGGGAAGACTTAATTTATTTATTTTTATTACTATTATTACTTTTTTCATGCAAGATGAGCATGAAAGGGAAGTTTCTTCCATATTAATGACAAAAAGAAAAGAGCAGACATGCTGGAACTGTCAGTCCGATCGGTCATGACTGACAAAATTTGTCTGGACCAGTAAAAAATTGGACTTGGTTGGTCCAGAGGACCGACAAGAGTTTCAAGAGCTGCAATTTTGAATTTACATTCATCATTCGACATACTTCACCAATAAAATTATATTAGACCCAAAGCGTTTTTTGCCTTCCATTTCAAACCGATCACATTCACAAACAAAGTAAGCTACCCTAATAATACTGGTAGTATCTGTCTCAAACAAAAAGGGTGATTTTTGGTCTGTCAAAAATCTTTCAGTTCGGCAAATTTTTCATTTCTGTCCAAATGTCCGACCATTCTGAATAGTTTTCAGCATGTCTGAAAGAGTGTCAACACACTCCCCAAAAATGCACTAGTGAGAAAGTGCTTCATTTGCAACCTGGAATACAGTAGCTCATGTTCTTTTACTAGTTTTGAAATGCTTTCTTAACATATTTACATACAGGTATACATCCTTTTCATTTTCTTTATCAGAGTAATGGGCAGTTTGGTCCGTGTAATATTATGTAAACATTTTCTTACTTGATGCCTAAAACGTGTGTGATATTAAAATATTTCTGCTCTTTTCAAGATAAAAATTAACCCCAAGATAGTTGACCGTTTGAATACATAAGAGATTAAAGTCTTCCACGTTTATCTATACCCACCCCCTCCCTCCAGACTTTCACTTTAATCTCTGATACGTTTACCCAATCAAATCCACTTCTAAATTCAGATCGGCTTCACCACTGACCCCCGTATGTCCCGTTCATCGCCCTATTCCACCGATGTAGCGCGGGTCGTGAATGCTCCTATCTTCCACGTGAATGCAGACTACCCAGAAGATGTGAACTATGCTTGCAAAATCGCAGCTGAATGGAGAGCCACCTTTCAAAAGGATGTTGTCATCGATTTGGTAGGAATTATTTAAAGGATGTAGTTTGCTTGTGAAATATAATATAAAATTATTGTATTTGTGAAATTTTCCTATTGCTTCAATATAACAGTTTCCAGCTCATGCTTGATGAACATCAGGATTTTTCATTTAAAAGGTAATGATTGTTGAAGAATTAAGTAACATAGAGCATCTTGGTGAATTTCTGCCCACTGGTCTTAAATAGGATAAGGCATACACTGATACTTGCAAATTCTTGCAATTTCACTGAGCAACAAAATTGTTTGTTCAAAAAAATCATTGTGAATATTTGTTTCTTGTTTTCAAATTTTATTTCAGTAAATATTGTTAAAATATGTTTTTGTTTCATTGTCATTGCCTTTGTTTCCTAACTGATTAATCAAACCACGTAACTGTTTTCTAGGTTGTTTGTTTATTTGTTTCTATACAGGTGGGTTATCGTAGATACGGTCACAATGAGATAGACCAGCCAATGTTCACTCAGCCTTTGATGTACAAAAAGATTAACCAGCAGACCACCGTGAAGGTGAAATATGCACAGCATCTGTTAAATACTGGAGTTGTGACTGAGGAAGAACTTACGGTATTTATCTTAAGTACAAATTCATCTCTAGTTGCTGAGCATATTTGTAGATTATAAGTATTTTCCTTATGTGAACTATATATTTATTTTTTTTTTTTCATTGGGGTCACTCTAGCATCTTTTTAGGATGTTCTGAGAAAATATTTTGCTTTAAATAAATTATAATTGATAAATCTATTTTTAATGACATATGACAAAAAAACAAAACAAAAAAACACTGCTACATCCATGTAAAATTTCCAGGCTGAAGAACAGAAGTATCAGAAGATTCTTGAAGAAGGCAATGTTCTGGCCAAGCAAGAAACTGCCATGCACAACAGAGACTGGCTAGACTCACCATGGAAGAACTTTTTTGAGCACAAGGATCCAATGCAGAGACCCGAAACTGGCATTAATTTGAAAACCCTCCAACATATTGCAAAGGTGGTGAACTCGCCACCACCAGATAAAGAGTTTAAGGTCCATCCAGGTAATTGTGTATTTTCGTTTTAGGTTGTGATAGGCTGCACTTCCTTTTTGTGTTATGCTCAATTGTCAGATAAATTGATGCTAATAGAAATATTTTTCTTCATAAGTTAGGCATTTTATTAATGCGTATGATAATTTCTCAGTTTAGAGTATGAACATTTTAGGGAGAAATGCCCTTTAAGACTGACTGCTTACATTGAAAATTTATAAAAATAATAACAATTATCATTTCTTTTCGCTTATTGTCAGGTATTCTCCGTATTCTAAAGAGTGGACGTGACATGGAGAAGGAAAAGATGGCAGACTGGGCACTGGGAGAGAAACTAGCCCTCGGCTCCCTTCTCATGGAGGGCTACCATGTCAGGCTGAGTGGCCAGGATTCAGAGAGAGGCACATTCAGGTACAATTCTATAGAAAAACCTTATTTTGTTGACAGCATGTTATTGTGGGCATTTAGTATGGTCAGTTGTGGAAAGATTTTTGCTTTAAAAGGTTGTAGCAATGTGAATTAGAATGAAAAATGTTCATGAGCTTGGTTTTTGCACTATACAATGAGAAATTCTCACTGTCGTCACTGCATGTGTTTAAGGATTTTTTAATTGTGTAGAACAAACCTTAGATATTTATTGAAAGATATTGGTTATCACACCAAAGCTAACAAATATGTAATTTTGTTTTCTAATCTAGCCACCGTCATAGTGTTATTCATGATCAGGATCGTGATAAGAAATTTTACGTGCCCCTCAACCACCTGAATGACTCCCAGGCCCACTTCACAGTCTGTAACAGCTCTCTGTCTGAATACGCTGTGCTAGGTAAGTGCAACTCATACTAAACACTATGTCAAAGTTGCAACTGAATTGACCTAAGTTATTGGTCATTAGACTCAATTTGATCTTTTTCAGACAGTTTTTGATTTCTTAAGTCAAAATGTCTTTTTTTTTTTCAAATGCCATATTCTCAGAGAAATATATATGTTTAAATTAAAGAAGTGGTATTACAAAATAGATCATATTGTGTAAATTAGATGTGAAATGAAATATCTTATGCTTTATTTATTTATTTATTTATTATTTCTATTGCAGATTATTATATATTTTTGAATGCCTCAATTATCAGCAGCTATAATAATTCCATTCGCATTTTGTTGTAAATGAAAACTCCCAGAATTTTGAAAATGAAAGAAAAAGAAAATAAAGAAATATATATAATATATTACAAACTTGTTTATTTTGAACCATTTAACATCCAAGGTCTCCCTGTGTTTAGGTTTTGAAGTAGGTTATGCTCAGACCAACCCCAACTCCCTGGTCATTTGGGAGGCCCAATTTGGCGACTTTGCCAACACCGCCCAGTGCATCATAGACCAGTTCATCAGCAGTGGCCAGGACAAGTGGATGAGACAGCTGGGAATCGTGCTTTTCTTGCCTCATGGCATGGAAGGAATGGTGAGGAGTTATGCTTAGGCAAACTTTTTTTTTATACAAAGGATACATCGCTTTCTTAAATAGCATCCAGCATATGTCAGTGAGATTGTTCATGGTTCGAAGAAATTGTATTTACTGATGTTTTTGTGATAGTAATTGCTTACTTTGGAACCAAATATCAGCGAAACACATATGTTGCACTCTTGTCACAAGGTTGCCAACACCCAACAGCCTGATGATGCTCTTGTGATGAGCAAAACCATCAGTAAATATTCAGTACAACTTCAGTTTTGTACCCAAGGGAACAGATTTGACAACTTCTTTGCCACATCAACTCTCATATTCTGGATTTCTATTTTAAACCAGTTCTTCCAGTTGAATTCAAACTAAGTCTTTCTTGTTGGAAAAAATTTTTAAAGTCATATATGTATACATATATTTGTATGTACAGTTTTGTTTGTTCCTGTTGATAGTTGTGTTTTATGTATGTGTGTATGTGTGCACACGCACGCGCGCACACACACATATTTTTCATGTGCTTATTCTCTTGTAGGGTCCTGAACACTCCAGTGCTCGCTTGGAAAGATTCCTGCAGATGTGCAACGACGATTCAGACTTGTTTCCCGTAAGTACATTTTGAATACAGATACTGTTTGTGTCTGTATATGTTAAAATGGAGCAATGAGAATGGCTTTATTTTAATGTTACTTGTCTGTATATTTGCAACTATTGCTGTCTACTTTAACAGCTATAACTGCCACTTGATTGTGCCCACTTGACGACGTTCTTTTGATTTTACACTATGAACATTTGCGTGTGTTGAAACTGTATGAAAACATATTAAGGTGTTCAATTTGCAAAAAATAAACCTTTTTTGTATCTGTCTTTGATTAATCGTGCTCAAGCATGAACATGGCATTCTTATGTTTAGGATTTGTAATTATTCACAAAGCAAAATGTCAATATTCTGTATTTCAGAAAATAGATGCAGACTTTGTGATGCAGCAGTTACACGAGATCAACATGATAGTGGTGAACTGCACCACTCCAGCCAACCTCTTCCATGTGATCAGGAGGCAGATCTACTTGCCCTTCAGAAAGCCGGTATGTTTACACATTGGAAGGAAGTGAAAAAAAAAAAAGAATTATTTGATTTTTAAAACGATCAAAATTGATCGGGGTATTTAGAATTAGAGAACAATTTGATGGATGGAAGGGTTGATTGAATAATTTCTAATGTTATCGCCCTTTGAATTCCACTTATTTGGTATGCTATGTTCTCGTTCAGTTAATAATTTATAATTTCATTAATATATATAATCAGCAATTACTGACAGTCATGTTTGTGGAGTTTTTCTTAGTGGTTTTCCTCCTGCTTGCAGTTAATCATGATGTCACCTAAGAGCCTTTTGCGTCATCCCATGGCCCGATCGAAATTCGATGAGATGATAGAGGGCACCAAGTTTAGGCGCCTGATCCCAGAGGAGGGTGGCGCCCAGGAAGACCCAACTTCTGTAGAGAAGTTACTGTTCTGCACTGGCAAAGTGTACTATGAGTTGGTGAAGGAGAGACAGGCCAATAACCTTGATGAGAAAGTTGCTATTGCCAGAATTGAACAGGTTGGCAGACTTGTCCTCACAGTTACATTCGATTCATTACAATTGTCGCCAGTTTTGGAAAATAAAAGACTTACTGAAATTTTATTTATTTATTTATTTATTTATTTTCTTGTTTTCAAAATTCTATATAAAAGTCACAAGTTGGGTCTGTATCTATTAAAGTATATTCATATTTTGGGAATAGTTTTGTTATATGTCATTAATTTTTATCACATTTTCCATCCAGATTTCCCCGTTCCCATTTGACCTGGTCCAAGAAGAATGTAATAAATACTCCAGTGCCAAGATTTGCTGGGTGCAGGAAGAACACAAGAACCAGGGGGCGTGGTCCTATATCCAGCCCCGTCTGGACACTGTCCTGAGGAAGACCACACGCAGGGACAAAGGAGCAGTCAGGTGGGCAATCAGTTTATTAGATTACTTCCCACATTCGCTGACTAGTTGATGAAGATTATAAGACATACAGTGGAGAAAGTATAACGCATGTTTTTATTCTTATTGATGGACTTGATGGTCTGTATGGGAAGATGATAAATATGACTTTTACAGTGTGGACAACCTTTTAAAATGAGGACACAGGACTGTCTGTCATAGTTATCAGCTATTTACAGATATTGTAAGATCAGAAATAGATACAGAAAGTATACATACATATGCTTAAACTCTTCTTTATACAAACTTTCATTATCTTCTATCACTGTTGCTTATGTATTATATGATATTTGTAATTCTCAATAACACCCAGATAGAGAAAATCGATGTGTTCTTAATGGTATAAGTTATATGTATTTTGAAAAGCATTATGTCTCATTTTTCTAAAGTTTATGTATGCACATACTTGAAAATCCCCAATGAGAGAGATAATAGGTCAGTATGATAAAGCTTTGATGATTAATTAAAAACTTTATAAATTTATTTGTTTATTAAATTTTATTTTGCAGATACATTGGGCGACCTTCAGCTGCCTCACCTGCTTGTGGGAACAAGAGAATGCACGAAGATGAGCGAAATGTTTTCCTCAGAACTGCTTTCGAGCTGAACGATTAATTACGAGGGCTGACATTAAACACTCAAAAGTGCTATTTAGTGGTGATAAACTTTTAGCGTCAGAATCTTTTTATTTATACATAAAGACTGCATACAATTAAGATCCCAGTATAAATGGTAATCTCCAAAGTGTAGCCTGCAAATCGCACAATTTTAAGAGAAAAAACAACAACTTGCATCTCGACTTTATTTATTAAACATATTTATAGCTATTTATAGTATACATTGTGTAAGAAGATTTGCCCATTTAGATGGAGAGGAATGTTGAACAAATCTCAAGTTTTCCTTTGTTAGAAAACTGTTTTTAAATTATTCCTTAAATTAAATAACAGGTAAATACTGTTAGTCCAAAGAGATAACTTATATCATGTAGAAGAGTAATATATATTAGTGTGGTTGCACAGGGTCAGATTATTGTTTCAGAGAGCATGTTGTATAGCTGGCCCCCTCAGGGTAATGCCTATTTGCTATGCCATTACCTGTTATTGTATAACAATCATAGATTTTAAAACTTCAAAGCCTGAGGCACTGGCTGCCACTTATGAACAGATGTGATCTAGGTGTGTTACACACTCATTGAAATGGACTTGAATTCATATAAGACTTGGCATTTTATAATTGTCATTAAATCACCAACTGGAGAAATGATTGAATGATGATCAAATGAGGTTTAAAGTTTGTGTCAGTTTGTGTTAATTTTATTTGTGGTAAATTATTGAAGTGATTATTGTAGTGATTTTGACTGAAACAAGCTTGTCTTCAATTTTAATAAGCACCATTTAAGGAAGATGTATTTCTGGGTTGTTTAAGAAACCATTGTCTGTATTGCAAGTCAACAGATTAACAGATTAAAGTGAATAAAACAAAGTTATACCTGTGTTAATATTTCGTAAGTTTATTCAGATAAAATTTATGTTGTAAATCTATATATCTCTGTAACATTAATGTAATCTTTTAAGTGTTTTCTACAGCTGGAATCATACTGCTTAAAACATCAATATGTGTGAAAAAAAAGAAGCTATGTGAGAAACCTGTCACCTCAAAAAAGTATTATCCAAAATATCATCAGTTCGATAAAGAAAACTAATAACTTCTATAACTGTGAACTTGTCCATGCTTCTCATAAACCGGCGTTTTATTAGTCCAATCAGGATTGAGCTTAATTATTTGATTAATAGACTATTTGACTGATTATATTTGATCTCATCAGATCTGTTTAAAATGCCTTCTTCACTGCATCTAGTGCCTGAGCACACAGACTGTCCAGCTGCCCATCTCCACCTGAATGAGAAAAAATATGGTATCTTTGTAAAATATCTAAGATCAAACTGCAGTATTCATTAGTTGCATTTACTTTACCAGCAATACAGTGCAGTGATGGCAAGTCATAAGAATTAAATTTGTATTTGTAGCACTGGGTTTTACATGAATCTTTAGTTTCTATTTTTACTGTTGAAATAGTAATCATGATACTTGGTATCTATTTTATCACTTGAATTAATATCATTTTTCATCTTATGAAAATTTCATCACCAGATTATTTTTTAATGTAGTTTACCAAATTCCAGATCTTTGATGTTGCATGTGAATATTAGTTCCCCATTCACATAGAGTTGTACTGTATTATGATCAGCCATCTTTTGTAGGTCTACCTGATGGCCATCTCTAGTTAGAACAGCTGAAATGAGTTAAATTATTAAAAACTAATCAAGCGAGCATGCACATCAATCGGAACGGTAAAAAACATCCTAATTACTTTTCATCAAAATAAAGGTTAAACAAGAAAAAAAAACACATAACATGGGCACACAATGTCACTTACTCTGCAGTCCTTGTAACCTCTCCTCTCTATGATCCACAACTCCACACGATTCATATGGTCCGTAGCACACGACTACACGGGCGTTTTCTGGCATTTTGGATAGCTGGTCTGTTAACCCTCCTTAATAAAAAAATTAATAAATAATAAAGCAAAAACTCAACTTTAAATTTTGATGCCAAATAACAAAGGAAATTTTCTGTCAGCTGAAGACAAATAACCGCATAGTTGCAGCCGTAGAAGATTAAAGTTCTATAAAGTCAAGCACTGCCGTGGCACTGACAGGCTGTAGAAACTGAGACAAGCTGAAAAAAATTCAACACAATTTCTTAAATTGTAGTAAATATATCTACACAATAAAATCATGCTTTAGTAGGTTTCTGTATCTACTGGACAACTGATAATTCCACTGAATACCATTCTACCATCAGATTAAGTCTATGCAAACAATAGGGAGAAGAAGAGCACTAAAGAATTCCGTATACCTGCATTTTGTGTACGGTTTCCAGGAGTAAACTATCGAAAATAGGTCAAATGTAGATCCGCACCAAATGGTAAATTATGAAATCAAAATTAATAATCACGCTGATGATGAAATTATAATAGCATAGATGGTAAAGATTAAAATTGCTTCGTATGATTGACATTCACAGTACTTCGATACTGCAGCTATTAAGTACATAAATCAAAGCCATTTACAAACCCTTGCGATAAAAACAAAGCCGACCTTCGCAGTTGGGAGACGTGCAGTTAGGCGCTGATGAGATGGCTAACCGTGTGCGATGCCTTAGTCGTTTAAGCCAAAACTTTGGATTTTCATCAAGTGCAAGGTATATTTTAGTCGATCGATGGTTAGATTGTTTACCAAGAAAAGGGTTGCATATTCTTGTGTGCCTTTCCCAAACCCAAAATAGCTGCATTTTAGCAGTTCGCGATAATTCATTAATTTGGGTCATTGAATCACTCAAGGCTCACATGTTCTAATTATAGAGTCTGTAAATCAAAATATCCAGCCAGGTGAAACAAGATGCTGTAAGGTGAAAAGGACCATTAAGCATTGGCACGTTCTCGGTACCTTTAATTTTCTTCAATTTATTTAAATATATATATAATTTTTTTTTTACGAAAAGTATAAAATGAGCAGAATTATCTTCAGGTATAATAATTAATATAGTGATCGATGTACATCATGTAATTGTATTTTTCACAATTGGACTTGTGTTTGACATCTGACTAATTATTGCACTCCAAAAACGTGATCAACAGAAAATTATCTGTAAAGCACGTTGCAGCAAGGTGAACAAGGTGAAAGAGACAATGATGAATTGACACGTTTTTTCTGCTTATACCATAGCATGTTTTGACACTGACCACTATATAATACATGTATCAACAATTGATACATTCTAGGGACATGTGATTACCAGTTGTCTTAGATTTTACTTGACAGTCCTGCATTTTAAGCGAATGTCTTACGTCCCTAGCCCCCCCCCCTCCCCCCGCTCAGTGTAATGTTTACATTTACTGTTGTGGACAATTTAATTATAACTATTGAGGGTTGTATGCACTGGCAAGGAGCAAAGATGTTCTTAACTTCCAGAGCAAAATTTAGTCTACTTTGACCGTAGGGAAATCAAAAACGGTAAAATTAGATGAAATACTGATAAGAGAGAAATAAACTGTTTTTGCCAATTAGTTAACCGTACTGCTAGTTCTTCACATTTATGTCCTGAATTGAAGTGAAGTAAAGCTTTGGTCTTGGGAGTATCAAAAGTGCTTTTGTTAAATGAGCTCCAATCTTAAATGTAGAAAACCCCTGACATATATATATTTTCTAATATGTCTTATTGTTTATTTTAGATCTTTGCGCCAGGGCCAGTTATGGGCAGTCCACAGAAAGTACAGTGTGCTCAATAAATTAATAAACACGCCAAAATTCCTTGCTGTTCCAAGTGAAACATCTCAACTGACACAAGGTGTAATATTGTTTAATTGCATTTAATTTACACTTTTTTGCTAGAAAATTTTCATTTAATTTTTCAATGCAATTACACATAATTATGTAACTAATAATGTTTTTAACAGATTTAAGTTTTATCTCTGTGTATGCATTAGAGTAAAGTCTGTAGAGCTGATAATTTGAAAACAAATTTTATCTAACAGATATTGTACCTCCCTTATTCCAGCCAGGGCTATTTTTATCCAGACCCAGGTCACCCCCAATCCCAACAGCCTGAAATTCTTACCAGGAGTCCAGGTGTTAGAGTCTGGAACACTGGACTTCCCCAATGCCAGGACAGCACATTCCTCTCCCTTGGTCAAGTAAGATATCAATACTGACCTCTGCCACATTAAAAAAGGGCTATTCAGACAGGGTCCAACTTATAACAGAAATTTGCCTTTTAAACTGTGGCATGAAAAGATCTCATTTTAATGTGGCAGGAGTCTCTTTCTTTCTTCTTCCCTTTCACCCATCTCTCTTTCTCTCTTTCTCTCTTTCTCTCCACACACACACACACATGCAAGTCCAATGCAAATCTGTTTTGGAATGTAGATGCACACTTTTCATAAAGTTGGTCACTGCACACAGTATGAAGTTGATTAATTTTTTTCAGTGTTTAGAGGAATGTGCCTGTTACTGTTGAAATGGAGCAATGGGAAACGCTTCTTGGCTGTTAAATGTCTGTATATTTTCAAGCTTTGCTGTCTAGGAGATTTTTTATTTTGCAGACAGCTGTTCCGTATAGATGGGGTGAGGTCTGTAATGCTTGGCACAGATTTCATAAGCATTACCAAGGTGAGCTGTAACCTTTAAAACCAAATACTAATTCATTGAAAGGAAATCTCCATACAAAGGTTTAAAATAATAGATGTCAGATGTTGTATAAGACCAAGATAAAATGGGATTTTGCCACCATCATGGATTTCTTTGTCTCTGCACTAAGATCTAACATGGTTCTAATTAAATCACTTAGTTCTAAATTAATCATGATTCATTTGGACTACTGGTCTTTCTGACATTTCAGAAGAAAACATGGTCATCAGGTACTTTTATTTTAGGGGTTTTATCATTTTTGATATCTGAATAGAGAAAAATAAGTGGGGTTGTGGATTGTTTTGATGTGAAAATAAAAATTTTGGAAATTTTTCAAGGGCACATAGTGTTCTTTTAATATTGTAAGCAGGGTAAAAGCTGCAGCTGGTAGATTCTGTCTAGACTTCCCCATACAGAAAGATGGTGGAGTGCTGCCACCAGCTTATGCTGAGATGAATGAAAAATATCACATCTGTAGATTATAAATTATGCATTTTTCTCTCCAGATCAACGCTGAGGTACCATGGAGTATTNTTAGGCTCTGTTCTCACAACTTTTAGATCGATCTATCACCGCGGGGAGTCTCACTAGATTACTGTCAGATAATCCGCCTTAAGTGTCCGTCCCCGCCTACTACAAGCTATAAGGGGTAATTAACTTTCGTGTCCGTCCGGCTGACAGCTATTTAGCGTGAACCCCCGGGGAGTTAGGTCGATCCAATGTAGGTCGATCTAATCTATGAGAATGGGGTGCAAGATAAAATGGGATTTTTGTGCCAAATCTAATTACATTTCACACACAAAATAAATATTCTCCTATTCATGAGTCATTTTCCAATCTGTCTCTGCACTAAGATCTAACATGGTTCTAATTAAATCACTTAGTTCTAAATTAATCATGATTCATTTGGACTACTGGTCTTTCTGACATTTCAGAAGAAAATATGGTAATCAGGTACTTTTATTTTAGGGGTTTTATCATTTTTGATATCTGAATAGAGAAAAATAAGTGGGGTTGTGGATTGTTTTGATGTGAAAATATAAATTTTGGAAATTTTTCAAGGGCACATAGTGTACTTTTAATATTGTAAGCAGGGTAAAAGCTGCAGCTGGTAGATTCTGTCTAGACTTCCCCATACAGAAAGATGGTGGAGTGCTGCCACCAGCTTATGCTGAGATGAATGAAAAATATCACATCTGTAGATTATAAATTATGCATTTTTCTCTCCAGATCAACGCTGAGGTACCATGGAGTATTTTGAAACCAGATATTTTTGCCACCATCATGGATTTCTTTGCCTCTGGGACCCCAGTCATAACAGGAGAACCACCTGCCGAGGACACAGGTAATACTGTTGTATTCATCTCAAGTATAGTTGTATTTGAATCATTTTCCCCAGAGGTAGGCTTCAAAACAGAGCTGTGATTTTAGACCAAAATTTTAGTCTACCACATAATAACCAAAGCAGATAAATGTATAAAATGATGACTTGAGAGTTACAACATAACATAACATAACATTGTTTAAAAGAAAATAATGGCATAATATGATGAATTGAATGAATGTATTAATTCTGAACAAAAATTTTAAGAAAAGTGGTGCATGGATGTCAGTTGATAAGATAGATTAGATTTTTAACTTATCATTTAAGATCACTGTTTATACTAAATTGCTATGGATACAAAATTATAGCCTTAGGTACTTGTTCCCATAAAATCAGTATAAAACAATCCAGTTGTGTTCCTTTTATTATTGAAGAAGATAGTTAATGGAATCCCTTTTTTCAGTTGTATAGTAGTTGATCAGTTTTGGATAGACTGAAGAATGGATGGATGAAAAGCTGGGTTGAAGTTGTATAATTTTTTTATCTCATATGGGAAGTGTTACAGTAAAATTCTGCATCCAAATATAGCAAAAAGACATAATGTAGAAAACTAATTAATAGTATGCTTAATTTCAAGCTGTTTCTATCAGAGCTTGAGCACTACTGTAAGTTAGAAAGAAATATGTTAAGGTAAGATATGACAGTAATTATATTTTAATCATATTTATTCCAGAGACATATTTATTTATACATACATATAAAGGTGGAAATTCAGCATTCTAGCATTATATGCTCATTTTTGAAAATCATAATACAAAATAAACTAACCATTGGATGAATAATTATTATGGAAAGAGATTAAATATTCTCAGTATACTCCTAAGCAGGAGATAGGGCACCATTTGTAGTTTTACAGGCTGTACACTAATACCTAAACTTAAGACAACACTTAATTAACACTGTAAAACTTGCACACAGGCTCAATCAAGGGTTGTGAATCCTTGTTTCACCTCTCCTCGCTTACATGGTTCTCATTTTCTGGCACCCTGTGCTTGCCTCAGTACGGACTGTTATATTTCCCCAGCTACAGTAGAGTTAGTACATTGGTAATGCTTGTATGAGGCTGTATCATATGTGTAATAGGGTACGAGTATGAGAGTAGACTGACACTTAATAAGCCAAAAGGAAATAAAATAAAAGTTGATATGATTGTTATATGAATGGAATTCTTTTGAAAATAAATTAGTTTTTAAATTTTAGACTGCTTTGACTTCAGATAAGTCATAGGTTTAGGTCCACAACAAAAAAAATTGTTCAGTTTGAATATAATATGAATAAAAACTTGAGTGCCTTTTAACAAGAAAAAAATCAGCTATGGAAATGGTATGAAAATATGAAGTTTTTCTTACAACAGCAATTACAGTTCTTGATTGTGAAATGTGAAATTGTTTTGTATAGCTGTAAGTGCTACACATGTTATAAATGTGCCACAACTGTTTGATAGCAAAATATTAAATAATAAAATTCATTTGTGTTTTCTAGCTGTGGATTCTGAAGACAGTGAAACGGTTGCCATGATCAAGGAACTCCTGGATACCAGGATCAGGCCCACAGTACAAGAAGATGGAGGGGACATTGTTTTTGTGGTATGGAAGATTTGTCAGCTCTTTGCATTTGCATGGATTCCATTTGTTTTTGACTAAAGATTTCTTTTGTTTTCAGTCAGAATAGTAACTAGTTGAAATGTTAAAAAAACTGGATTATTCCGACCATTTTTTCCCAGTCTCACATTTGGACTTGATGGCAAAGCCCTGGATTGAATTTTGTTGCACAGCAGAGAGTTCTATTTGGAACCCCAACCTGAAATTATTTGGTTTGAATCTCTACAAGAAAGTTTACTATAAAAGATCTGCCATAGGTACAGTGATGATTGCAGCAAAGTTGCTTTCTTTTAAAGAGATTCTAAGAGATTGTTGTTTCAATTAATATAATTAATTATTCAATCCCGTTTGAATAGTACAATGAATTACCATATAGGGGAGGTTTTGTGTGTAGCGTCTTTACCTCTTTAAAGATACAAGTTCCCATCTACAAGTGCTTCTTTTTAAGAAGCCATTTATGGAAAAAATGCAGTTTCAAACATGATATAACATTCACTCTTAACAAATTTTAACTATTGATTGTAATTCATGATAATGGACTGTTGTTAATTTTGACTGTGCAAGATGGTGATGTTTTAAAGAGATTTAAAGAGATAAGAGGGCTCTTAATTTTTTCAAAAAAAACTTAAAATAGGGCTATTTGAATTGCTTCCAGGAATTTGATGAAAAAAGTGGGGTTGTGAAGCTCAAAATGCAAGGCTCCTGCACAAGCTGCCCTAGCTCTGTAGTCACTCTGAAACATGGAGTACAGAATATGCTGCAGTTTTATGTTCCTGAAGTTAAAGAAGTTGTTCAGGTATTTATGAAAAAAGGGATAAATTTGCACATAGAGTAAATTTTACTATTTTTGTTTAGTCATGCTTGTAAGAAACATTCAAAAAGAGCATTCATTTATGGTCTGAGAGTGAAGAGTCTTCAGAAATTGGGAATGAAGGGAACCCAGTGCTTGTAATTTGTTGAAAAGAGTTTATGGATGTCAGTGAATTTATCATTATTTTATTTTAATTATTGCAGGTGGAGGATGAGGTAGATGAAATTTCACAAAAAGAATTTGATGAGTTTGAAAGGAACAACATGAACTGGAGGGATTAAATAAGGGTGCTAAACAGTGCAGTGCATTCATGATGGCCAAGCATTGCAAGGGAGTTGGATGACGTGGCCACTGTAGGCATTGCTGTGCATGGGAGGATTCCCTCTGCACAATTAAAATGGCACTATTTTTTTTTCTTCTTTTTTGAGATCAAATTATGAAACGCCCTATAATCGTTTGGTCAAATTTTGTGTGCCCTTCTGTAGCACTATTTTAATGCTTAATGTTAATTTTGTTCATTTACAGCGGTGTTTAATGAAAATCAATACTGATAGTTCTTGATGATTGACATCTTATATTTGGCAATATAAAATGACTAAATCGGTCTTTTTATTGAAGAGTGGCAAAGGTTTATCTGTCAAAACCATTCTCACAACATTACAGAAGTATTTTCTTGTCATGAAAATTGGACCAGTTCATAAACTGTAGTGATATTGGCTGACAGTGATTGTCATTGTTTTAATATTGCACTTTACTAACATGTTAAGTCATATGCCCCCCAAGACAGTATTTTAAATAATTAATGCTTACCATTACTCTTTAGCTGACACTGCCTTTGGTGGGTTTTTTATTTTATTCAGTCCATGTCAAGGATGAAGTATCAAATATAGTTACATAAAATTGTGGCAATATACAATTGTTACAACACACAGACTTTTTGAGTGATGGAATGAGGAGTCCTGATGCTGTTAAAATGCATTAACTTAATAAACTCTTCATGATGAAACATGTTCTGTCACAGATTTCATTATTTCAGATTTGGCCATAATGTTTTCTTACACAAATTGCCAATTGAAAAACATATTGAGGTCAGATGTAGATTTATATTTGTACGCCTGATCTGAGTAGGCTATGCATAACTGTTTAAACAGTGTAAAAGCATTGTGCTTGTGGCAAATGAAGAAATCAGTTTTGGTCAGTTTTTGTTGAAGGTTACATGACTGCATTTTGTGGTTTTATGCCTAGCATTTAAAGAAACAATAAAAGAGAAAGGACACATGAGTTGTTTGTGCTTGTTTGCATTGTGTTAGATTGATACTGTGATCACAGTTTCTCTTCACTTTGAATTATAGTATGCTTGGAAAGTTAAGAAAAATGGATTCTGGTCCAAGGGCATTGTGAAGGCTGAAAAAAAGCATCATAGTACCCCTCGATATTCTTTGAAAAATTTAAATTAGTTGGCTAAGAGGCATTGTTGGCTTAATGGAGACCAGATGAATTGTTTTACTGAGCAAACAATTCCTACTAGGAAAACTTTCTTTATTCTAAAAGATGTAAGTAACAAGAATAAAAAATGTATTTGGAAGAAATGCAAATTTTTAAAATGCTTGCTTACAAAAAATATTGCAAAAATGTGTCCAGTACATTAATTGTACTCTAGAAATAGTACACAAACACCTCATTAACAAACTAAGAAAGCACCATGGAATTGCAGAAAGTTAATTATTTTAATGCTGAAGCTGCATTCCTTTTGTCAGATCTATTTGGGAAATCAGCTGCATGTTAAATATTTTCTTCATGTAAAATAAACACTGTAAAAAGTTTCAGAAATGGTGTCAAATATACCTTTTTAATGTTTGTGTATTTTCTCCATGTTAAATTCACTTCCTTGATTAATTATTACCATCATACAAATATTTGGTTCTAATTTGAAATGTGAATATATTTAAAAAGAAACATCAAATCTTTGGCAGCTGGTATATATTAAGGCTATAACTCTATGTGCCTCTTGTCTATTTTCCTTTGCAGCTCTGTGTGATGCTTCTTTATCTATAAGAAATATGAACATATATCGTTATGCTACATACCAATGATTGACTAAACGGTGATTTTACAATGTGCTACATATAGCTACTACATAAACTTGCCAACCACATTTAACATTATGAACTCCCTAGAACTTATACTACTTACAGTTGTAACATTTTTCATACAATTAAAAAAAAACTGAAGTTGAAAGTAGACATTTACCTTTTTGGCATAGTCCCTGTTTTTCTCATCCATTTTTTCAACTTTCAAAGGGATGTCTTTGCCACTCTTTTTATAATCTTTGACAGTTTCTTCAAATTCCTTTGTCATATCAGCATGTTTCTTGAGTTTATGCTCAAAATGCCTCAGTTCTTCCTGTATTTAAAAAAAAACATATTTTACTTCGAACCTATAAAAAGTAAAGAAAGGACAGTTTTCATAAACCTTTGATGGTCTATTTTATTTATAACTCATAAACAATAATTTGCGCGATAACCATAGGGAACTTCAGGGGCGGATCGAGGCTGTCTTCTGGGTCTTCTGGAAGATGGTCAAATTTTTAATTTTTACATTGACGGGTATCTAATTTTTTTAGTCGTAAGACGGTCAAAAATAGAGAATAGATCAACAAAGATAATTGGGAAGACTGTCAGAAAATATCTCTGGATCCGCCCCTGGAACTTCTCAGTGATTTTCTTAATTTCCAATTACCTCAAATGCTACTAATTCTTCTGGACTAAAGTCAACTTGTTTTGCCTGCATCCACAACTCATGGACTTTTGGTTCAGTGAATTTCGTTTCACCATCGGGTACTTTTTTAGCCAAAAATTCTAGCCTTTCATAATCCATCTTAAGATCTTTATGCCTTTTCTTCAAGTCAGAGTTGATAGATCTCTTTTTATGTCCATCTATTGTATTGTCTTCAAAATTCTTGATTGAATTATCTGAAACATCTGAAATAGAGTCAAACATCAGAGTACTTAAAAAAATCTGTATTTCGTTTGCTTTGCATTAAAATATTTAACACTCTTGCATGTAATAGGAACAAAGTACTTAAATGCACATCATTCTACAACTAGACCATTATCTGTCATTAAACTTGAACTTCTATTAAAAAAATATCAAAATCAATTTACTCTGAGATAAAATGAAAGGTGCATTTTTCTAGTTTTACACTGTTTTGAATAAATACCAATCAACTGATTAAACAAAATGTGCAAGCCTTATTCCTGTTCTTAATCTCCTATACCAACCTTGCCACTCATCTGCTTCATTTAACAACTGGTGATACTCATCAAGTCTTGTCTGGTAATGTGAAAACTCCTGCTTTAAATCTTCAAGTTCTTGAGCTGAAAAATGAGGGGGGAAACTTTGTGAAACCAGAGTCAGCTTTTTTGATACTATCATTTTTGCTATCTTTTTTTCTCAAAATCAATATGAAATATTTCGCTTATGCACAAATGCATGATTCCACCACAACATTCCTCTTCATAAAACATTAATGATACATCGTTATAAACTGCCACCTTTCATGCTAGACATTCTTTGAAAGTTAATTTAGCACAAAGCCTCAGCAGTACAACTTTAAAAATATGACTCTCACCTGAGAATCCAGCATATTCTGCTTTTTTCCACAACTTCTTTAGTTTTTTATTGATTAACTGTGCCTCTTTGCGAGGTTTTGAATTGAAAGTTTTCTCCACCTCGTTATCTTCTTCATGTTCAAAATGGTCATCTAAATCATACTTTATCATTATACCTAATAAATAAAAATAAATGAAAGGCATGTCATATACAATAAAAGCATGAATATGACTGATCTTTTAACAATAAACAATATAATTATTTTACTTTTTTAAGCCAATTACTCAGACTAAATTAAGCATTTGTGAATTTCTCTGTCTTTCAAATACTACTAAGCAATAAACTGGGTCCACTAGTACTGTTTAGAATAGCTTGATATACCTCTTAATTCTTTTCTAATGCCTGCAGCCTTTTCCCCATCCTTATCCAAATCATCTGCTATGATCTGTTTTAACTGAAGTTCTTTTTTGTCATGAAGTTTGAGTTCAGCATAAAGCTCAGCTAGTTGATTTTTGGAAAGTCTCTGAAACCAACAATGTATGTAAATTAAAAGGCACACTGCCACAGTCAACCTGAATTTACAAGTAGATCATAACAGAGTATACATATTTCTAAAGACATTTCAAGGTGCTTTCATATTTTTGAAAGCCAAATCCTCTCCAAGTATATGCCCCTTCCATTCCAGCATTACTTAGTTCTTAAGTTCTATACAATACAATACAATACAATAAATTTTATTTCATGTCGGTTACAAATTGAATGGAAACATTAGCTTTACAGCTATTCTCCGACTGTATAAGGACAAAAACATATCTACGATAATGCAATATTACACATAATTACAAAGTTCTGTATAAATAACGTGTCATTAAACGGTGATTAAGTTCATATAATGACCGCTCATTTTTTTACAAATATAGATCTAAGTCATAATGCCCCAAAACGGCTATAACAGAGAATATATGTATTCACATGTTATAATGTGTTTGGCGTTACATCGACCACGCTCGCGGCTATAATCACTGATTCTAATGCTCACCAACCTTTCTCGCTTTCTCCCACAGAAGGTTAACTTTTGCCATGCGGAATGGTCGCTCCATTTTCATAATTTCATCCTTCGCCATGTTCTTATCCTTTGTGTATTTATTTGAGTTCACAAATTTGGAAAAAACTGCTAAAAGCAAACATAATCGTAGAAACACCCCCACAACCTCCATTTTAACTTGACCTTTGACCTAGTTTCATGCTGCGGAGATGTCCGAACTTTTTAAGTTCAGTTTTGCCTTTTTAAAATACGTTCTCCGTTAAAAGTGAGGGTATTTTTACCATAAAGTATGTCTGGCTAGGTTGGTTTGATAAATTTGGGTTTTCCTGGACCGTGACGTCACGTGTAGGGAATTCCCTTCCCCCATCTTGTCGCCATTTTTTCGTTCCTTCCGTAGTTATGTACTGTGCTTATCCAGTGTGCTAGTAAGTCGGAGACCTGGAAATGGATGCTAAAAACATTAACTTTAGGAAATGCTTGGTAGACATCGCCAAGGGAATGAGAGGAGGTGATCTAGAAGCTATGAAATATATGTGTAAAGACTTAATTCCGCGTAGGAGATTGGAAGATATTGAAAGTGGAACAGATCTTTGGGAAGCTTTAGAGGAACGAGGGGTGTTGGCTGCAGACGACACAGCTTTTCTGAACACCCTGCTAAGTTCGGCAACAGAAAATAGAACAGACCTAGCCAAAATACTAGAAAAATATGAAAGACAGTTTGGTCAAAATGGAATTGGGTCCCATTCAGGTAAATTGGTGATCTGTTCTTCCCAAGTTTAAAAATTAATTTTTTAAAGCATTTTTAGTTGGTCTTGATTCTAGAATAAAAGAAAAAAGAACAGAAATTATTTTGTAAAAATGAACCTCAATATTTGGTCAAATATGTCAGCCAACATGCATAGGTGGTACTACTCTAATTAAGAGCAATTATGGAGCTAATTGAATTTGGCTTGCTAGTATGTGCATGTGAAAAGTGATGAATAGCATTCATAGATTTCAGTAGCTGTATATCATGCTTGTTTGATTGCCTGTCAAACTACTTTTATTATGTTTATTTAAGTTCACAAGAATGTTTAGGTTTGATATGCTTTTGGTTTTTCTGTCCTTTTAAAAACATGATAAATACAGAACTATATTTAATCATTTCAATTCTCAGAATCAGGAAGAGTTCAAAAAGAAGAGGAATTTGTTGGAGAAGGTAAAATATTGTAGAAAAAGATGCCCATCCCTGACCCTTCCCAATCCAGTAATTCCTATGCCCACATGAAAATAACTTGATACAAAGAATAGACAGTGACCGTACACCTCATTTAACCCTACTATGCCTCTGATATATAACTATATATATAAGGTCTCAGGTTGAGACTGCAGGGACAGTCAGTTGCTAAATGTTAGTTTTAGAGTTATTCATATTTCTCTTAAATATCATAGTTTTAGAAATTTGTAGTAGTATTGTAAGGTTTTGTAGAGCTCTTGTGAACACCCAAGTCAAGTGAAAACTTAATTATTATATTCATTTAAGAAAAATTTACATTATATAGTCAATATTATATAGTAATCTGTTTAGTAATTGTTATTTCAGATTTATCCAAGGAGTTTGATTATGTTGTGGATCATATTGGCCGTCACTGGCGCACCCTGGCGAGAAAACTACAACTTACAGAAACTGACATTGACTGTATCATAGAGGAGAATTCAAGAAATTTGAAGGAACAGAGTAGAAAATCTCTCATACAGTGGAAAAAGGAATATAAAGAAGAAGCAACAAAGAGAGCATTAGTGGAAGCTTTGAAACAATGTGAATTGAATGATACTGCATATCATGTTCAGAATATGTAAATTTGTCCAGATAGTCACAAAATATTTGTGTAATATAAGAAAAGGATGATGAAATGGGAAAGACCTTTTAATCCAATGTCACTTCCACTTAACTTTAGAAGGGACTCCAAATGCACAACCCTCTCTAAAACTCAGTATGAGTGGAAGCGATCAAAACATGCTGAACCTAGAATGCCATCTCTTCATATTTCCCCTTGAGTTTATGAGTGTGCTTAAGTTGAGGCCCACAGCTTCCTGGTCAGTGTTGTTGCCTTTTGAACACTTTATTAAAAGACAAAGTACCAAATTTTGGAAGCATAAGATATAATTTTTTTACCATGAAACTATATATACGTGACGTATTGTTCAGGCTCACCTGAGCTATGTTAACTATGATGTCTCAGATAATCATAATGTTACATGGAATAGAAAGTGAATAGAAATTGCTCTAGCTTATTTAAAACATACTCTCAGTGCAAAAAAAAAAAAAAAAGGGAATTCTCAGAACACATTTTTAATCCCATGTTAAGAGTCAAAGATGAGGTATTCTGCCATGTCAAACATTTTACATGGTTATTTTGTTCTTGGCCAACATACGTTGAAAAGAGTAGTCATTCAGTTATAAGTTGGTCAATATTTTCGTGAAGTTATTAAGAAACTTGAAATATGTGCCTTTTTTAAGGTGAAATGTAATGAAAATATATGTGTTGCCTAAATAGTAAATTGAATTTAATGAATTTATCAGTCTTCTGTCTGTTTATTCTTTTCTTAGTATAAGGATTGACTGTATCAAACAAGAAAGGGCTTTTGAGCCCTAATACTCAACAATTACCAACTCCACATTTTAGTTTACAAGAATGTGTAGGCTTTGCATGTTTTTGGTTTGTGTGTCCTTTTACAGACTCGGTTTACAGATTTATATTTAGACATTTCAATTCCACAGTTTGTGTTCCCTTTAAAGTTAATATGATTTCTGCATCTAAAGTATGATTTGGAGTGCATGAATTCCCTAATAATTTGGAACAATATCCCAGAAAACAGACTTGTATCCCTTTGCAGGAGACCGTGTTACTCCCTGCACAGGTTCTATCTGAAATACCGCTCGTCACTGAGGCAGGGACTGCTTGGGGCAGGGACTATAACAACCAGATATGTTATCTTTTTAGACTTTTATTTCTCTGTCTCACATATTATAACTCTCTCTTTCTAGTCTCTGTCTTAATAGGACACACTTAAGTCAAATTATGCTTATTGATACAGAAGAATTAGATGCTAAATGGCTTCCAGATACAGGTTGAAACTGATACCTATATTGATTAAATCGGGTGGATCATATAGTTTCAAAGCAGAGAACCATTTCCAAATACGTTTGAGACCTTAATGAATGACATGGCTTCTTATTGAATTGAATAACCTTGTTTGATCCAATGCAACTTAATACTTGGCCTGAAGACTGATAACATATGTATAAATCCTGGTGACACAATTTGATTTACTCAACAAAACAAAATGCATTCATGGCACATAATATTGTAGAGCATCTTTCTAATAAACTTCAGGAAATTAAATTGAATGGAATAGAATTGATCAGTTGCCAATCCAATGAAAATTGGAAAACTGAAAATTCATTTACGACATTAGATAAAAATTATGATAGCTCTAATAACGAACCCAGACACCTTGTAGGAGGGATGTCGCCCCGTCTACATTAGAAAATTCCAGAACTCGATAGATACACGCACTAGTAGACACGTTAGTTCGAAAAGTGAATTCTGGTGCTACATACAACTGTATGGATTTGGTGACATTGGCGTTGTCTTTACAATTTTATAGCCATTTTTCTACTTCTTTGGAAATCAATGTGGAACGTCGTATTTAGGGTTGCATGTTCTGAATAAATGGTATTAAATGGATACCTTTGCCGGTATTTTGGCTTTTCTGTACCCTGTAAGACGTGTCTGGAATAAAAAAGCACAATTTCACGGTTAAAAGTTGTCATGTGATGATTTATAAACAAAACAACCTTTTAGGGCTAACATTTTGGCTAAGATAATATATATATATATATATATATATATATATATATATATATATATATATATATATATATATATATATATATATATATTTTATATTGAGACAAAAATGTACGCTAAATGGTTCACTCAGCTCCGGTTGTTTCAAAATGTAAACAGTTAAGCATATAAAATAGGATATGCACGTTTGTTGAGAAATATCAGACAGTAAGTTCACTTGATGAGCGAAACCTTTGTTTTTTTGCAAAAGACCACGTGTCAGTGAAAGTGCCGAGGCATGGTAAACTGGTAAAAAAAATTCCCCCCTCACCGCACTGAAGTTGGCACTGCACACCGTTCTGTCGGGCACTTGAAAACAATTTTTTTCACGACCCGCTCCCTTCCTCCTTCTAGGTCCCAGGTGCTTTACCTCTCTCAAACCCGCTTACGCCTAATGAGAAAGTGAGGCAGTGTCCACCTACATAAGGATTAGAAAAGAACCCTGACCTCCAGAATCTTAATCTTCCTTGTACATAGAAACGAACTTTAATGCCCATCTTAAATTGCCCACGCCAACCGACCGTATTATGATATACACCACTGGAGGACAATGTCCTTGCTCGTCCGCACTTGGTCATCCTGAGTTTGAGAGAGAGAGCTCAGAGTGCTGGGATCACCCCTGTTAAAGTGATAGAGGTTAGGCTCAAATAGTCTTTGAAATTCAGGGTGCGCATGGTAAAATGGATATCATACTCATTTACTGATCTTCTTTTCTATAACGTACTCTTTTGATGATAACAGTAGATGCGTTTTTTACATTTGTAATTGAGTGAGGTGTCAATCTCTATAATATCAATCAGCCGACAATGACCAACAGCCCCCCTCCTCTTTCCACCACCACTAGTGAGTGAGCAATCACCTCAGCTAAATTAACTCGTGTAAATTCTACGTGTGCTTTTTAATACAAAAAATAAACTGTTCATAAACTGCCCGTTATATTCTACGTAATTTTAATCTACATGTGCAGTTGGTATATTTTGTAAAAGACAAGGTTATTTATAATGCATTTCTTTGGAAAGAAATGTTTTTAATAACAATCATTTTTTCTTTTCTTATTCTTCGATACATACAAGGTAAAGTGCACGTGGTTATCCCATCTAGTTATAATAAAATGACGGAATGGATATAATGCATTTAATTTTCGAACAAAGAGTATTTTCAGGTATTAACAGCAAAATTTGCAAAAAGCAGCAAAGTTATACACAGGCCTATATTTTTATACTGTTTGAACATTGCCAGGAAGCGAGTATGATATCTAAAATCTCAGAAAATATCTAGAATGTTTATTTTAAATAACTCAATAAATAGTTAACGTCTACTTTCGCGGTTTATACCGGGTTTTTACAAAATGAAAAAAAATTTCGTTCTGTCTTTTGGCACAGGTCATCATTTTTAGTTGTTTGATGTTTTATTAATATTTAAGCCATTCGTAAAATTTTCAATTCATTTACATCCATGATTAGTTAGACGATATGGTGACAGGGCACAGTTTAAAAGTTTTACACATAACGCGGCAAAACTGCATTCTCTTCCAGAGTAGTTTTCAAAACCTTCGTTACCAGGCATTGTAAAAAATAAACTTGAGGTTGAGGAAAAATGTGTCATTAAAATAAACGTGCCTCTCGTAATACCCCTTTAGCTCAGTGTAATTTTTGTTAGTATTAATAACGTGCAGATTTTACCCAAAAGGGTTTTTATTTTTAAAACCTTCTTTACTAAAACAGCTGAATCCTTCGTTATGAAATATGAAAACTGCCCCTTACTAGCAAGGTATGGATTTTTAAATTTTCCACGATTTACACAAAAAGCTAGATTTATCACTCTCTGTCACCAGAGCTTTAAATAAGGTAGAATTGGATAATTCTTTCACTTCATTTTTTCACTTTTCTGTTCTTCAAATGGACCTATTTTATAATTAATAAGTAATGACCTTTATAGCTTCTACTTACAACACTTTTAGTTAACTCGGTACCGTCTGGTGCTTTACATTGAGCCTTATTTTCGGACGCCTACATGTTCATCCCAGATGACGATTCTTATGATTTTATCTATGTGTAGGCCTATTTTGCTATGGTCTTAGTTTGTTCCATTTTGATGAAGATAAACAACAGGTGGTATGCCTATTTCAATTAAACTAATAAACTGGATTTTAACAATGTTTACGATATTTTTCATATAAGGACAAAGATTAAATTGAAACATTCTCTCTAATAACAAGTTTTTCTTCTTGATTAATTTTTGGTATTATGGTCCCATAAGCAAATTTCAGAATTCATATTCGCACAAAGTCGCAATTTTTCTACTTGTTTGGTTTTTGAAAATGATAAGCGTTTTTTAATGTCTCGTTTGGATTTTTCGAATTTCAAACATCCATTCGACTGAAAAAAAAAGCGAAAATATAGAATAATTCTAAGGCATGCGCTTTCAATTGCAATGAAGGAATTTGTAAAAAAGAAAAAGAAATGTTATAAATATGCTATTTCCTATAAACCTTTCAATATGATAGGATGTTGGGTTGGTTTCTTATACAAAAAGTTGATATTTTTAAAGCACACATATTATAACCACGAGCACAGCATTGCACAACTTACACACGTACACCAGACCATGAGAATATCGCCAAACGCTTCAGCGTTTAATCACAGACCCCGAGACCTGCACCCACTCCCCATAACATCGATATCCTGTTGATTTGGCAGAGCACCTGTTCAGGTCTCCATCGCTCTGTGTATAAATACTGCTCCAGAATACAGGCTTCTTCAGTCGTTGACTCCAGTGGGATACAAGCAACAACTATGAAGATCTTGATCGTCTGCCTTTTTGCTGTTGGTAAGTTACAAGGGCTGCCATGCAAAAAGTCGCCTTGTAATGAAAAAAGGGCAGTTTTCTGTATCCAATATAGTATCTAACTTGTTCATTTTCTTTTTTGCCATTTTCAATTAAGTTTGGTCAATTTTCCCATTCTTTTAGCTGTCGCTGCCAGACCCAGTTGGCACATCAAGCCTCAGGGTTCGGGAGATGATAAGGACGATGACAAATGCAAGCAACTGAAGGCCCTGGACTGCGCCCAAGTCATGGCGCCATGGAACCACGTCAGGAAGTTGTGTGACGTCCAAGGGAACACCTACGCCAACAGGTAAGTCTTTTTTTACCGTTTGTGGTCATCAAACATCCTCTCCAAGGGACTGCACGTTACTCCCCTTGGGCAAAGAATCATGTACGTCCTTGCCTGGGTTAAGTTTATCAGAAATATAAGTCTGGTAATTATTTTGTTTTTTATTCAGCCTAGTATGATTCATTCTTTTTTGGCCATTTACTTAACCCCAAAGTTCACAAATGTAAATTGGCCCGTTACCAAAAATAATTCAGCCATTGGCCTCACAGATAGATGTAACACCCATTAGATGCACAAGCCAACGCTCTCTCGAGGCTGGAACTTCACTAGTGTGAGCTGAGCTTGGTGTTTAAAGCTGGGCAGATTATTTTCTTATTTTTTTTGAGGTGCGAGTTCTTCAAGGCGCAATGCGACAACCCAGACCTGAAGCTGACGCGTTGCGACCGCCCTGACAAACTGAAGCCCGATGTCGAGACCTTGGCAGGTTCTGGTGAACCAGAAAAACCAGAAGACAAGTGCGAGGAGGTGAAGGACATGGACTGCTCTGTCATCGCACGCTGGAACCACAAGGGAACCTACTGTGACAGCAAGGGTAACAAGTACTCCAACAGGTGCGTGAGATGGCCATCACTTTTATTAAATTTATTAATCCATCAAGTGATATATCTGTCTATCAATCCGCTGTTTATTTTTCAATTTTTCTCTCTGTCAATTATCTATCTAGTTATTAAATTCATTTCAGTTATCCAATATACTGTATGTTTTCTTGTAAATTACACGTCTGAAATCCATTAATTTTTTCCATGGCAAAAATGTAGCTCACCTCCTATCACCATTGACCTTAATTCCTTGCTTGACTAACTTTCGTTATGGATGGACATAAGACATAAGAGAAATTGATCTGAAATGATCCATATAACGAATGAAAACAGCAACCAACATCCCTTTACAGATGCGAGTTCGAAAAAGCCCGCTGCGCCGACCCTGAGCTGACCCCCAAGAAGTGCCGTATGGTCACCCGTGACCGCCCCAGCAGCCGCGTGGACGAGGAGTGCAAGCAGGCAGAAACAGTGGACTGCTCTCTCTTGAAGGAGCACGTTGTCTGTGACGACAAGGGCAATGAGTACCCCAACAGGTGAGACATAGTATCATGCACACCATACACTTATTTTAATTTGCATTTCTTTGTCTCTGTAAAAGAAGCTTTTTTTTTTTCGACAACTTTCCGAATCCAAATACAAGTCAAATCAGAAGTTTTTGGATAAAATGATGTCGTGGTTCTAGTTTTAGTAAGATGTTCATGGAACAGTCAGTTTTCTTTGACAGTAAAAAGGCACGAAACCTGTTCATCAGAGATGTTGTTCCATAATTGTTACCCCTTCCCTACCTCAACCCCTTCCCCCTACGCCATCTTGATTAATTAAGAAGATGGAGAGCTATATCAACTGCAATGTTTTCGTGTAAGTCCTTATTGGCTTCAACTATAATAGATTAGTAGCTAGACAAGGCATGATAACAGTGCACTCACTATATCTTTTTCTTCCAGATGCTACCTGTTCCAAGCGTACTGCAAGGACCGCACCTTGCAAAGGGCACATTGTCCACGCCCAACTGACGAGCCCGGCTCTGGTGACCAGTTTGGAGGAAAACCAGAGAAAGCACAAGGCAAGCCAGACCACGCCGGACGCCCAGACCACGCTCAAGCTGTAGGTCAAGTAGATAAGCAGGACAAAGCAGATAAAGCACAAGGCAAGCCTGACCACGCCGGACGCCCAGACCACGCTCAAGCTGTAGGTCAAGTAGATAAGCAGGACCAAGCAGATAAAGCACAAGGCAAGCCAGACCACGCCGGACGTCCAAGCCACGCCCAAGGTCAACCCCCTGTCCCTCAGCAAGATTGAACGAAAACTGAAAGTCATCTGATTTGATTTTCAATCAGTCATGAACTGTTTTTCTCTTGCTGTGATCAATAAAAGTTCTTGAAACTTAGAAAATAAAACTTTTGCCTTGTAATAATTATATATATTTTTCTTTATAAGATGTAGCAATCATCCTCCTTATGAATGCATTTTGAAACGTAGTGATACTCGGCGGTCTCCATAGGTGATGCCATATTAGATCGTTCTCCCCGCGATAATTAAGGAGAACGGTCTTTGGTAGATCAGGCGGTGATTACATTTTTAGCTTGAAAACCGGCCTTAACTTTTAGGCAAAAATATTAGCCCAAACTTTGATAGTGGTCTACTTTGGGTCAAGATAAATCCACAGTACATGTAGTCCACCTGAATAAAATAAAATTACACCGATATTAACCATGCTCTTCTGATTAAAACCGTGCAAATTCTCAATATTAGTTTAATAAATGTACTACTGATTTATCCGGGGTCAAAGTAGACTTAAGTTAGACGTCTTAAGTTTAGACGAATTTTCGTATTGAGTTATTTTCTGAGACGGCCCATGGGCGCAACCTCTAAAGAAGAAGAATAGACTGCTTCGCGCGCCTCTCTGCTTGAGGTCTGATAAGTGATACATTAATGGGTTGTTGAATTAAATTGCCTAAGAGAGGGAGTATAAAAAAAAAAGAAAAAAAATTATAAATACAAAATTCGTGGCATCGTCGTAAAAGGGGGGGGGGGGGGGGCAATATCTACAGTATAAGCTATATGGCTCGAATTTTATTTCGATTCAAATGTTGCGCATCAAAGTTTCCAAAGACGAATCTTTGTTTTGATCCTGCTCATCATTGTTATGGGTGGGTGCTTTTGGCTTTCGATTCTATTGTCTTAACTGTTTTATCAACTCTATAGACGATACCCAGCATCAGTTCTGTTGAAAGGCCTAGATATATGTTTTCACCGTGCTCTTGATGTGTAAGCTCAGGTTATATTGCCATCCGACATTCACAACAGTAACTGGATAGTCTCAAACAACATTATGCTAGCACTTCTTGTCCATTGTGAGTAAAAAGACTAAAATACCACCCTTTTCGAAACGAAAAAGCTACAATTTCGGCAAATAAAATTTGAATGCGCCACCTTACCTGTCCAAAAATGGATTTTTCCACCATATGTAATATTCAGGAAATGTTCAGGATAGTTGGAGAATGAATCCCCCCCCCCCCATTTATACTATCCCTATTTTTTACCCCCCTCCAATGCCTACCTAGCTGATTTGTGAAGGCATGGCGGGAGATTGTCGCTAGCCGTCAGTATATCCTGGAAGATTTGAAGTAAACAAATGGGGTTTTCACCAGCTTTAGAGCTCTCTGGATGGTCTGAAAACTCCCCCTAAAATCAGCATCCTTCTGCCCTTTCCAGTAGCAGGGACGGATCCAGGATTATTTTAAGGGGATTCGGTTTTTAGGAATGACAGCCCCCCCCTCCCCCTCCCCCCCCTTGGCGTGGGGTTTGGTGCCGGCTGAAGGGCCCCGGAAATTTTTGATATTTTAAGAGGGCGAACGGTGCCATTTGATACGGTTTGGAACCATGATTCAGCTTTCAGCTGGTCAAAATTCTGATTTGAAGAGGAGACGTTGGTGTGATTTTTTTTTTAAATCGAAAGGGGGGGGGGGTTGCCCGTATATTGGGATATTTTAAAACCCAGATACTGAAAATGACTGTAGTATTCAGGTAGGCGTGGCAAGTTTCCAGTGGCACTTGAAACTCGGGGTGCAATTCCTGCACAAGAGATAACATTTGACAAAAATAAAGCCCTCATAAAGCTGAGAAATTGTTTTTATCTCTCTCTCTCTCTCTCTCTTTCTCTCTCTCTCCCCACACACACACACACACACACACACACACACACACACACTTATTAAAATATGCGATGTACGAAATATATAAACTAATTGTTAACAAGTCTTATTTTGATTAATGACCTAGATCATTACTTGATTCACAACAGTGCAAAATTCGACGAAAATAACATATGTAAGGCACGATTACGTCATTGGGAATTTCCACTCAGCAGTCATCCAGTTTCACTACCGCAAAGAGCACATGATCAACACACCGCTTTGCAGTCATTGAACAAGCTACTACCAAGTAAGTCAATACTGGGGGATGTTGTGTGTTTTTTTTATCGAAAAGATTGGCACGTCTCTCTCTCTCTCTCTCTCACACACACACACACGCACACACATACACACACTTCTAGATCATGGACTCCTGATATTTTCAGCTGTCTCGTTCACTACTCTTATGCGTGTCACTACATTATAGAAATAAATTAATTGGTAAAGATTTAAAGCTGAATTTACTGGTGGAATATACGGTGAATTTACAAGTAGATAAAGACCACTTTGCATCGACTTTGAGGGCTCTAACTGATTTTATGCTCGGATGTGTTCGGGGGATTTTTTTCATTTTAAGTCATAATCCTCGTGATTCCTTAAACTTGGAAACCCGGAAGACCCAGAAGACGGGCTAAAACCGCCCTTGATCCTATCCCCTTGCTTTTCGATTATATTATTTAACAGTAATACATTGTTGACACGCTGTGGGCCACCGTTTAATCTGCACGGCCTTTCCCGTTCTCGTGTGCTCTATGTGAATGTCGCGACTGTTGTTCTTAAGCTTGTTTGCCACGACCTTTACCCTTCCAGTGGTTTCCTGTGTCAAAATGAATGAATGAGCAACAATATACTGTCAACGCATCATCAAACATAAACTATAGATCAAATATAGAGAATACTGCGATAACACTTTTAAAGTTGACAAGTTTCAGTGAAACTGATATGGGTTACATTGCTACTTTACTGCGTGAGGATATTTATATATTGGGACTACTAAGTGCCCCACAAAGTGCGGTGGTATGAATACATTTAGAATGTATCGCCGCGTTATTGTTGTATATATTGTTCATGTATATTTACCTTTGATAAGATAAGCCATACCACACAGCAAGAATTAATTCAGAATATTAAAACGTTATCTAAGAGATGACGTGCGTTTTAATCTAAAACCAGAATGATTTTACTTTTAAGTAATCCGTTTTTAATTTAAAGGGATAACAATTCTTCATATGAGTTTCAAAATTTTTCAATAAATACATTGTAAACAACACATATAAGCAATACCATTTTACATGTACCACCAAAACGGCGGTTTTCGCAATGATTCTGACATCTGTCCATGCCATCAGAGCACGTGGACGTTCATAGATGGCTTTAACCTCCGTAATAATCTCTTCAGAGATTATTACAAAAACACACTTAAGAAAAAAAACATCATCTTACTCTGAATGTCGGAACGGATTCATTAACCATTGGCAAGTGTGGGAACCCATGAAATCCGTATTATGGCATCCTTCCCTCCGATATAAAGCGTTATTGTCCCTTGAAATCCAGAAAGTTGTATGGTTGTAAGGGTCAGGCTGAGGAAATGTGTTCTCGGTCAATATTTACTGAGTTAACTATTTTTAAATAACGAGTTAAAACTCTTGAAAATAAAACAGGTAAGTGATTAACAAAGGTTTGCTTCCTGTAGTTTGTCTTATCAAGCCCCCTTCTTAAGAGTTAATTAAGGGGATGATATCATACAACGCAATGAATCACAAATGTCTAGAGAGCAGATTGGTACCCTGCGTTTCTGAGTGTTAGTTTTGGCTTTTTTCAAGCCTTTAACATGGAACGCACATGGAGATGGGGTTCCCATCCAAAAGGAATTTAAGGTTTGGTATATATTCTGTATGGCCAAAGAACACCATATACGTATTTCACTGACATAATATAATACTCATATCATGAGTGAGATAAAATAACCCGTAGGTTGAAAAGAAACTAGTCAAACAAGTGCCTGTATTGATCCTACAACCAGTGTTATTAATGAAATGAAGGGGAGAGGAATTCCAAGCAAGGCGAGTCCACTGTCTGCTGCAACCTACATGTTGCATTTACTAAGGCCGGCGGAATCATTTAAATAATGCTACTACATGTAGTAGGGCCATCAAATTGGTGTAAGAGGATGGCCTTTTTAACGTGAACCTTCTAATCATTCCCGCTCTTCCAACTAAAATTAACGTTGTAGATTTATTGGGCTGGGACTTAAAAACATTTAACCTGTGAAAGGTAAACAACTTAACCTTTGCTTTTAGTTACCTATGAATTAGTACACCTTTTTAACACTTCTTATATTATAGGGCTTGCGTCTGGAAGGCAATTGCTCAACAAAGGTACAGGCAATCGTATAATCTTCACGCATTCCTATGATGATATGCCCCAAAAAGTGTTCCTTGTGGGCATCGCACTAAACCCAAGAGCGAAACATTGGANCCCCCCCCCCCCCCCCCTTGGCGTGGGGTTTGGTGCCGGCTGAAAGGCCCCGGAAGTTTTTGGTATTTTAAAGGGCGAACGGTGCCATTTGATACGGTTTGGAACCATGATTCAGCTTTCAGCTGGTCAAAATTCTGATTTGAAGAGGAGACGTTGGTGTGATTTTTTTTTAAAATGGAAAGGGGGGGAGGTAGCCCGTATATTGGGATATTTTTAAACCCAGGTACTGAAAATGACTGTCGTATTCAGGTAGGCGTGGCAAGTTTCCAGTGGCACTTGAAACTTGGGGTGCAATTCCTGCACAAGAGATAACATTTGACAAAAATAAAGCCCCCATAAAGCTGAGAAATTGTTTTTATCTCTCTCTCTCTCTCTCTCTCTCTCTCTCTCTCTCTCTCACACACACACACACACACACACACTTATTAAAATATGCGATTTACGAAATATATAAACTAATTATTAACAAGTCTTATTTTGATTAATGACCTAGATCATTACTTGATTCACAACAGTGCAAAATTCGACTAAAATAACATATGTAAGGCACGATGACGTCATTGGGAATTTCCACTCAGCAGTCATCCAGTTTCACTATCGCAAAGAGCACATGATCAACACACCGCTTTGCAGTCATTGAACAAGCTTCTACCAAGTAAGTCAATACTGGGGGATGTTGTGTGTTTTTTATCGAAAAGATTGGCACGTCTCTCTCTCTCTCTCTCTCTCTCTCACACACACACACACACACATACACTTCTAGATCATGGACTCCTGATATTTTCAGCTGTCTCGTTCACTACTCTTATGCGTGTCAGTACATTATAGAAATAAATTAATTGGTAAAGATTCAAAGCTGAATTTATTGGTGGAATATACGGTGAATTTACAAGTAGATAAAGACCACTTTGCATCGACTTTGAGGGATCTAACTGATTTTATGCGCGGATGTGTTTGGGGGATTTTTTTATTCATTTAAAATCATAATCCTCGTGATTCCTTAAACTTGGAAACCCGGAAGACCCAGAAGACGGGCTAAAACCGCCCTTGATCCTATCCCCTTGCTTTTCGATTATATTATTAACAGCAAATAAAATTTGAATGCGCCACCTTACCTGTCCAAAAATGGATTTTTCCACCATATGTAATATTCAGGAAATGTTCAGGATAGTTGGAGAATGAATCNCATTGGGAAGACTTCGCTGGCGACACTCATCTGCAGATACATTTACAGAAGGATGTTTCTACATATTTATTGGATTCATTGCGGCAAAGCACCGGACGTTGTGAAAATCATCAGTAGTGTAAGACGGCACCTACAAGGTAGTGAATCCCAGGAAGATTTTGCCGATCGTATTTCTGCCCGAAGTTGGTTAATACAGTTCACGATGCACGAGAAAATATTATTTGTGCTAGACGACGTTTGGAATCCAGATGATGCCAGCGTTTTTACTGCAATTTCTAAAGACTGTTTGCTGCTTATAACAACTCGCGACCGAGCTGTTATCAACATGCTTAACGTTTGAATATATACTCTTGATCATTTAGATGTTGAAAATGCTTGGCAGTTGTTCCTCAAATGTGCAAATGTGACAGAAAAGCTCTTAAATGACCACAAAATAACAAAGGAAGCCAACGCCATACACAGTTATCTAGGAGGATATCCTCTGGCGATTGCTTTAGTTGCCTCGTCGCTCAGGCAAGGTGCCACGTCGGTTTCGCAGCCATTTTCTTCTCAGAGGTGGAGGGACATGGCAGCATCCTTGAAAGAGAAAGACAAATTGTGGATGGAATCCAGACGTCTGCCGATAGACAGTTATCCTGAAACTTTTGTAGGCGCCTTTGAGGCAACTTTTGCCTGTTTGCGAGACGCCGGCGATACAAACAAGCCGTACAGCATGCTGCAAGAAATACTTCTTAAGGTGTCGTTGTTCAAAAAAGATGCCTTAATTCAATCGTCAACATTAGCTATCCTATGCAGCTACATGCAAGATAAATCCAACGCTGAAAAGCAAGATAAAGTTGCAAGACATGTCCGTGAATGTCTGTTCACACTGGCAGATAAATCTCTGCTCAGATTTAAGCTTGAAGATGAAGATGGAGACTGTTATTTCCGAATACACGACCTGGTACTGCAGTACATTCAGAATAAGACTGAGACTTTGTGGGGACCGGATGGGATCCGTCGGATGCACACGGCCCTCCTGGCGGCATACGTCGCAGCTGCAGAAGGCACAATCGGGTTGCAGCACATTGAAAAGTTACGGCTGGAAGAACCGGCAGCAGGGTGCTCGGCTGAGAAAGACCGCTCGGATTCAGGGTTCCAGGATGATTTGGAGCGTTCAGTTCAGAGGCACAGTCCCTGCAAAGATCGTCCCACGATTAGCGGATCAAACACAAACAGTGGCAAAGATCAATTGGGTTGCAGTAGCTGCTATGAGAATGACCAAGCTATTGTACTGAGTTATCCTTGGTGGAACCTGGATTTTTCAGGTGACAAATATGTGTACACCAATTTCATTCATCACTGCACAGCTATGGGAGAAGAGTTCGAGTCATTTTACATAGGACTCCTGTGTTCATTCCGCTGGCTTCAAGCCAAATTGAATAAAACATCTTTGTCAGAAATACTTTCTGACTTCGAACGTCCTCAATTCAGCCCCTTGCATGATGCCATCAACAAAGCTTTACTTCTCCACGCTCCAGCCATCATCCGCGATAAGAAGCAACTAGGCCCCGTGTTCCTGGGCTCCCTTAGTAATTTAGAAATAATTGGGATTTCTGATTTTCTTAAAGATGTTAGAAACCAACTTTTTGAGGATGCCGATTCATGTTTTTTACCTGACCGTGCGTGTATTTCCCCACCCTATGGGCATGTTGTTAAAACGTACAGCGCACACAATAGCACAGCTGTTTTAGGGTTAGGAGTGTTAAAGGATTCATCGATCGTTACGACATCTGGGGACGGATTTGTACGGCTCATCGATCCAATAACAGGAGGAGAGACTTGCCTCGGATCAGATCTCACAAAGCACAATGATTTGGTTACTTGTTTTGGTGTCAACAGTAGCGAAACCCTCGTCGTGACAGCCGCTTGTGACAGTGTTGTCAAGCTATGGGATTTAAAGGGGAAATGCCTCCGTGAAACGTTCTCCAATATTCACAACAGGCAGATATTCTCGTTAGTATTATCGGCGGATGGCGAATCGGGACTCACAGTCTCCGGAGATAAAACTATAAAATTGTGGTATTTAAATGACGGGAGTGTTCAGTTCACGTATGCTGCCCACACCGATGTAGTCGCATGCGCATGTTTTACCAATTTATCTGAAAAGGAGACATTTTTTGCTTCTTGCTCTTATGATAAAACTGTCTACTTGTGGCGAAAAAACAGACCGGAGTGCCCAGTTACATCTTGTAATCCAAAGTTGGGAGTTCTTTATACTTTATTTTTCAGCAGATATCAACGTCAGCTTTATGTTGGCGGGAAGACGGGAATCGGTGTTTTAAATTTCCCTTCGTTGGAAGTACGGCGAATCTTGAAAGGGCACGAGGGCGGTACATTTGCTTTGTGTCTTGCACGTTACGAATCGCACTCCTTATTGTTGTCCGGTGGAGATGATGGATGGGTCAAATTTTGGGACGTGAACGACGACCATTCACTGGTATTTCAGGCTCAGATCCATTCTGCTGCAGTACGGGGGATCCAATGTGCCTTCCAAGAGAACACGATGACTATTTACACGGCATCGGTCGACCAATCAGTAAAACAGTCGTGCTTTTCTCTTTCCAGTCTAGATAATTCTTCGACACAAAGTCACATGCCAAACCACGAGGGACCGGTGTCGGCAATGACGTCAGCATCTAATGAAAGATATGCCATTTCTGTTTCCTGGGACAGGCAGGTGATATTATGGGATTCATCAAATGGAACAGCCGTCAAAGTTATAGGGAGGCATGACGATGGGGACAGAATAACAACTGTTTCAAGTCATGGAAACCGCTGTTTCACTGGATCCCAAACTGGAACCTTGCACATTTGGAACTTGGAGGACGAAAGCCAAAACGCAGCGTTCTCATATGTGCATCCAGCTGCTATAGGAACTTTAGCGGCTTTAGAAGGCCACCCCCTTATCGTTGGACTCTGTAACGGGGACATTTATGTGTGGGATATTCAAAGGCCAACACAAACAGCCATTTTGCGTGTGATAAGAACATCACAATTCGGAGTAAGACATTTGCGAGTGACGCCAGAATGCTCCATATCGGCGTTATGTGACGACGCAATTACAACTTTGTCATATGAAAGGGATTACCAGGAGCAACAACAGCATGAGATAGTGACTGTCAAAATCAAAAACATGCCGCCCTTCCCAGTAGTACCCCTTCCAAAGTTTAAACAAATCATTATAGGTTTTGACGAGGACAGCCGTTTGAGAACCCTCATACTGGAAATCGAAAGAAATTCCAAAATAAATTCTGGCCTTCCAAAGGTTGAAATCGCCACTGCTCTCGCGATCTCAGAGGATCAAGAACACCTGGTGTGCGGAAGTGACAATGGCAGTGTTACCATAGTGACGAGACACGGGAAAACATTATCGACTTTGCCAAGTGTTACCGGTGAAGTGAAATGTATAGAATTGCTGCCAAATGCCACATCTGTGTTGGTGTTAACGTCAGAGGGCGATTTCGTAGAATACGCACAAGGTAAAGATGGAGAAGCGTTTCCATATTGTTTACAGTGGACACGCACAAGATGGCACATCGGCGCATTTCATATAGACCGCGTGAAAGCGGTATCAGAGAATCTCATTGCATTTGTGATGCATGGCGACAATTTAGTTCAGCTTTGGGACTTGACATCTAAAGCCCTGGTCTTGAAATTAAGTGCCCCCAGTGCCACAAAGAGTATCTTAGCTCTTCAAAATGGAACCTTATTGACCGGGTCTAGTGATGGTCGAGTTTGTATTTGGAACTTGAAAGACAATGGAAAGGCACTGAAGCCTAGAATACGTGCCAATGCCTGTCACGCCCCATTCGGTGTAGAGCACTTGTGCCGTACTCCGGATCAAACATTATTTCTTACGGCGTCATCAGACAACAAAATTGGTGTTCACGAAACTGTGAATGGGAATTTAGTCAGGGTAATTTCCACACAGCAACATTACGGCATGCGATGCATATCAGTGTCGTCAGACGGCAAGTTCGTCATGTGTTGCCACAAAGACATTTTTGCTCAGATGATCGACTTGACAACGGATATACCGTCAAAGCAGATGCTGACGTACAACACCGCGTGGAGTCGACCGCGTTCGTGTTCAGGCTCGCGTGTCTTCACAGAGGGGCCAAAATGTACAATTAATATAGCAGACATTAACAGTGGGGATTCCATGAACCTCTTAGGAGAACAAACACAAAGTAAGCAATACGCATATGCTCATACCCGTGCTGTGACGGCTATAGTGCCATATGGCGACAATCATATTATCACAGGGTCCTACGATAAATCTATAATTTTATGGTTAGTGCCAAAACACAACATTAAAGAATCTCATTCACTATGCCAATTTTATTTTGAACACATAGTCATCTGTTTGCTTGTGATTGGACGCAAACTTTGCGTCGGTCTGAAAAATGGGACCGTTAACTTTTTAAATGTTCAAATTAACAAGAAAAAAGTTTCTTGTGAAAGTGCCAGTATAAGAAAATAAGTGATAGATTTTTATATTGTAAAAGTAGATAGGGTATACAGCGCTGGAACGCAGATACAGATTTTTAATCGGTTAATTTCAGTGCGAGATGTTTACATATTTTAATATTGCTCTATTGCAATAAAATACACATTGAATTTTGAAAAATAAGGTAGGGGCGGTCTTTTTACTAAAATAATTGGGAATAAAATTTGTAGGTCAAATTAGCGCTGCGGTCTAAAGTGTAATCTTTTCTTCAGATCCAGACATTTATACTTCATTCAAATTGTTTTATGTGATTATAGGATGTTCTTAAAATACACTTCTCTTTTGGATAGAGGCTGCAACAATCTGGATTAAGTCTATCATACAGTGTTCGTAATTTTAAAGTTAAAACTCTATTGACGGGCCGAGAAGTTGCACAAATAGCAGGCTCTCTTTTTTATTTATTTATTTATTTTGTAATTTCTGAACTAGAGCACAGCCGCCACTGGCTGTAATATTTGTGGATCTCCTAGTTGATTAACTACTCTAATGTCTTAACATTGAGTCGTACCGGTAACATTGTAGATTTTTACCGTGCGTGCATCTGCCTTATTCCGATTTTTTTTGACAGAAAATTGCATTATAAAATACGAGGTGTTTTTATATAAACATGCGTAAAAATGTGTTTTATCTATGGTATTCTTGAAAACATAACGTAAATATCATACTAGAAACTATGAAGCAGTTGGCTTCGGCATACGTTTTGTAACTATTTATTATTTTTGGGTTTTGAACGACACATTTTTGTCGAAAGGCACTACCTCGTACATGGGATATTTGATGTTTGATGTTGATATTAGATGGAATTTTTAAAAAATATTTTAAATTGAGTGAGGTGTCAATCTCTATGCTATCAGTCAACCAACAATGACCAACAGCTCCCCCCCCTCCTCTTTCCACTACCACTCAGCTAAATTAACTCGTCTAAATTCTACGCGTGCTTTTTAATACACATAATAATCTGTTCATAAACTGCCCGTGATATTCTACGTGATTTTGATGTGCATGTGAAGTTGGTAGATACTGTAAAGGAAAAGATTGTGAAAATAAAAAAAAAAACTCGTTGTGTCTTTTGGCCCAGATCATCAGTTTTAGTTGTTTGATGTTTTTGTAATATTTTAGCCATCAGAAAGATCTTCACTTCATTTACATCCATGATTAGCTTGACGATATGGTGACAGGGCACACTTAAATGTTTTACACATAACGCGCTAAAATTGCATTCTCTTAGAAAGTTATTTGCAAAAAAATAAATAAAAAAAAAAAAAAATCGTTGCCAGGCATTGTAAATATAAACTTGTGGTTGAGGAATAATGTGTAATAAAATAAACGTGCATCTGGTAATACCCCTTCAGCGCAGTGTAATTTTTATTATTGATAACGTGCACATTTTACCCAAAGCAGTTATTTTTTAAACTTTTGTTACTAAACAGCTGGAACCTACGTCACTAAATAAGAAATTTGCCCCATACCAGCATAGCATGAATTAAAATTTTTCCGTGATTTACACAAAGCTACACTGTCTTTCACTAAGGATTTTATAAAATGTAGAATTCGCGAATTTATCTTTCACTTCATTATTTCTTTGTAGACCGCCAAATTTTAGACATAATGACTTTTATAGCTTCTACTTACTAAACTTTTAGTTAACTCTGTGCCGGCTGTTGCTTTACTTTGATCCTTATTTTCGGACGCCTACATGTTCTTCCCAGATGACGATTCTTACGACTTTATCTTTGTTTATTTCGTCATGGTCCTAGTTTTTTCCAGATAAATAACAGGTGGCATGCCCATTTCAAGTAAACTAATAAACAAGATCTTGAACAATGTCTACGATATTTTTCATATATTTTTCAAAGATAAAACTGAGATATTCTCTCTTCTACTACATTTTACTTCTTTTTTGGCATTATCATCCCATAAGTAAATCTCACAATTAATATTTGCACAAAGTCGCAATTTTTTATACCCGTTGTTTGGTTTTTGGAAGTGATAAGTTTTTTTCTTTTTTTTTAAAGTTGTGTCTGGTTGGATGTTTTCGAATTTCAAACATTCATTCGACTGAAAAAATAAAAGCGAAAATCTAGTATATTTTTAGTGCATGTGGTTTTACGCAAAAATAAAAAAAAAAAATCATAATAAATATGCTATTTGGCATAAATCTTTCAATGGGATAGGATATTGGAGTGGTTTCCTATGCAAAAAGTTGATATTTTTAAAGCATACATAATAAAAACACGAGCACATCATTGCACAACTTACACACGTACATCAGACCATGAGAATATCGCCAAACGCTTCAGTGTTTAATCACAGACCCCGAGACCTGCGCCTACTCCCCATATAAGATCGACATCCTGTTGATTTGGCAGCGCACCTGTTCAGGTATCCATTCCTCTGTGTATAAATACTGCTCCAGAATACAGGCTTCTTCAGTCGTTGACAGTGGGATACAAGTTACAACAATGAAGATCTTGGCCATCTGCCTTTTTGCTGTCGGTAAGTTGCTTAAATTAGGCCAGTATCTTACCTTTTTTTCGATGCAGAATTGATGTGAGCTTTTGGGAAAATTAATCAAAGCAGGTTATACGTTACGTTCTATTTAGTTTCAACAAATTGGATTAGTTGCCTTTTTTCGTCATGGCAGCCTCCCTCACGTACACACGCATGAACATAAAATGTCTGCTGTTGTTATGTCGCTTGTCATGCAAAAAGTCTCCTTGTGATGGAAAAAAGGCAGTTCCCTGTATCCAATAGAGTATCTCACTTGTTCATTTTTAAAGCGTTTTTTTTTTTTTTTTTTTTTTTTTTTTTGCCATTT